CAGTGACACTGCACCCTTTACAGCTAAGATGGTGAACAACAGCTCGACCTAGAGCTGGGCTGCCGTGAGTCACCGGCGACAGCGTAGGCTGCAGCCCCTGCTGCAGTGGGCTGTTGTGAGCTACTGTGAGCGGCCAGCAGCCGGCGTGAGCTGCCATGAGCCGCGCGAGCAGCCATCCAATGGCTGGCTAGCGACTGCCTCACCCGGGAAGAGCGCAATGATAATACCAACATGGGCCAGTGAAGCGACATCCTCCACAATTAGACTGAAGAACAAAAGGGCAGCAACTTGTCTGTTCCCCTTCCCCGATTCCCCAACGCTGTTCCCCTGCCCCAATTTCCTAATAAAACCTTACAAAAAAGCCCAAAAAACATTTATATAGATACTGAATTAGTACTACCCATGTATAATATGCATTCTTATTGTTCCCTCACAAATTTGGGCAAAAAAGTGTGCATTATACACGGCAAACTGTGATAATTAATGTCTGAGATATAGAGATAGTGTATCCAAGAACCAAGAACAGGATGCTGTTATAAAGGAACATTCCAGAGGACCCAAAAAAGCTTTTAGAAATTAAATTAAAAATAGAAGTTTTTTAATCATAGGGCAGGAAGATAAAGTTGAGGGCATCTTCTAGAAAATGGAACACAAAGACAGAGATGGGAGAAAAGGTGAGAAAGCTGGCTATTAGCCCAGAGGTCACTCCCTGGCTAATGGGAGGCCAGGATGTGGGACAGAGGAACCTCTGGGTAGAGGGGTAAACGGGGGTCCTAAAGGGCTCCCGGGCTCCAAGTACAGAGAGTGAAAAATACCCACCAGAACACTGGGCAGATAATTAATACTGTGAAAGCTTTCAGAGTAAAATGGGCATGTGAGGAGGACTGGGAATCAGAATAGAGCTCATCTCCCCTGGGAGCCTCTGGTCCCTTGCTGCTGGCCCCTGATGGCATCCCCGCGCCCTGCGTCCATCAGGGTGTGTCCGCAGTCCTAGGGCCTGAGACCTGGTCATCCTGTGGGACCCCTCCCCATGGGCAAGCTGCTCTAGTCCCGAGAGGCCTGGCTGACCCCTGTGCTGCAGTAGTGGTTCCGGCTCCCAATACCTGATTTCTGTTCTGAATTGTCATAACTGTGCTGTACAAGGTGTTAAATGTTTTGAATAAAACCTCTGGTCATCATTTTTCTCAAAGAGCTGCTCGATATTTAAGGACTGATGGGGTGATGTGAGGAAGGGGGTGATTGAAACTCTCCAAAAACAAGTCTTCAGACCTGAGAATCGTCAGAGCTGATTCCTCGTGAAGTTTGGTTGATGCCCGTCTGGCTGGGCCGGGACCAGAGGGCTCCAGAGAGCAGGGCCACTGTCTGTGAGTCTGAATCACCTCAGTGGTGATGTTCGTTCAGCCACCAAACACCAGCTTCTCTTCTGCAGTGTTCCCTGAGAACCCTGTTCTCTTCTGAGCCCTCTGATGGGGGTGGGAGCTGTGCAGCAGGAGGAGGGTAGGGAGAGAGACACCCCCCCATACCAGTTCCCAACTCTGCCTGTCCGCGTGGATCCCACGTGTGTGTTTGACAGAGCGTTGAGTGGAGCTGCTAGAGAGCGGGCACTGGGCATCCTTTCTGACGCGGACCAAAGTTAACGTCCTATTGTCCTGGGTGGAACATGGGCAGATGGGTCAGCAGGGTGCCCAGGGCACACAACGCTCATGATGCTGGTTATGGGAAGAGGCTCAGCAAGGTGCAGCTGCGGCGCCAGCCCTCTGTCCCCTGTTTCTCCTAAGCCCTTCCTGGGTGCCCTCTCCTCCCTGCCAGGCCCTTGGACCACAGCACAACCTCCAGGGTGGCTTGGCTGCAGGGCCGCTCCTTTCGTAAGGGCCAGACCTGACAGGAGATGGGAGCAGTCAGGGTCCAGTCCCCTCGGCCCAAGCCGGCTGGGCCGATCTGCCACATGGAGGGGACATTGCCTAGAGGATGGGCATCCATGTCTGTAGCCTCCCTGGAAATTGCCCTCCAGGGTCGGTCTCACAGAAGCTGTGCAGCCAGGACTGAGGAGGCGATTCCTGGGCCAAATCTGTGCTTCCTGTTTGACAGAGAATTCCAGGAGTTTCCACCCACAGAAGCTGGTTATCAGCAGAGGAGAGCTGGGGGATGGGCGAATTCAGAGCAGGGATGGTGACAGGCCTGAGCTCTGTTGCTTCCTGAAGAATAGTTCTCTCACTCAAGAACACATGCAAGAGAATCTTCTCTCCCTTTAAAAGAAAAAAATTGTGGTATAATATATATAACTTGAAATTTACCATTTTAATTATTTTCAGGTTGTACAGATCAGAAGAATTAAGTACATTTTCACTGTTGTGTGACCATCACCGCTGTCCATCTCCAGAACTTTTCCCAGCTTCCCAAACTGAAGCTCTGTCTTCATTGAACACAGACTCCCCATCCCCCTCCCCCAGCCCCTGGTGACCTCTAATCTACTTCCTGTCTCTATGACTGACTCCTCTGGGGACATCACAGGAGTGGAATCATACGGGATTGGTCCTGCATCTGGCTTATTTCCCTGAGCATAATGTCTTCAGGGATCATCCGTGTTGGAGCATGTGTCAGAATTTTATTCCTTTTTAAGGCTGAGTAATACTCCATTGTGTGTACATACCATTTTGATCATCTGTTCATCCCTCGATGGACCCTCGGGTGGTTTCCACCTTTTGATTATCGTGAATATATAACACTGCTATGAACACAAGTGTACAGAAACATACATGTTCGATTCCCTGCTTTTACTTCTTTGGGGTATAAACTTGGAAGTGGAATTTTGGATCATATGGTAATAATGTGTTTAATTCTTTGATGAACCGCCAGACTGTTTTCCATAGTGACCACCATTTTGCATTCCCACCAGCAGTGGACAAGGGTGGGTTCCGATTTCTCCACGTCCTCACCAACCTTTGTCATTTTCTGTTTTTCTTTCTCTTTTTTTTTTAAGAAATTTTATTGGGCAACAGTGTGTTTTTCCAGGACCCATCAGCTCCAAGTCAAGTCGTTGTCTTCAATCTAGTTGTGGAGGGCGCAGCTCAGTGGCCCATGTAGGGATCGGACTGGCAACCTTGGTGTTATGAGCCTGCACTCTAACCACCTGAGCTAACTGTCCGCCTCATTTTCTGTTTTTCTTGATAATAACCATCTAATGGGTGTGAGGTGATCTCTCATTGTGGTTTGATTTGCATTTCTCTGATGATCAGAGGTACTGAGCATTGTTTCATGTGTCTGTGGTCATTTCTATATAAGTCTTTTGCCCAGTTTTTATTGTTTGTTGTTGTTGAGTTGTAGGATTTCTTTATATATTCTGGATATCAGTCCCTTGTCAGCTATGTGATTTCCATATATTTTCTCTCATTCAATGGGCTGCATTTTCATTCTGTTGAGCATCCTTTGATGCGTGGAAGCCATGTTTTGACGTGTGGTTAGGAGTTGGCCATGTGCGGAAGCACAGCAGGGGTAGAGGTACCGGTGCCTGAGAGAGCTTGCCGTCTGCAGACGCTCTGGGGTTGGCTTGACACACGCACACATACCATGAGAGCAACACCTATGTTACAATGTCCATTTCCAAGCCCTCTTGGAGCAAATGATATATAAAATCATGAAACTGGGGACATGTTTCAGGCTTACGAGAGGAAGAGGAAACACTGAGCTTTTAGGAAGTTTCTGGATGATCTATAAGCCAGTTGAAGATCTTACATATAAGATAACATGCCCAGCACTGTCCCTGCTCCTACCAACTTCTCTTGGACTTTTTTCCTTAAAAGTATAAAACAAAAACAAAATATATGGCATGCATAGGTCGTGCAGAAAGCTCTCCAGAGAAATGGCATTTTAGCAGTTACTTTACCCTTAATAATGCTCCAAGCACGCTCCAGTTGTCAGTACCTGGGGGCTGCAGTGAACCCAAGAACTCGGAAATCCGATTAGCTTTTGAGAGTTCCCCTTGAGATCACACAAAATAGGTCAGTTGGGGGCCGGCCCAGTGGCGTGTTGGTTAGGAGTTGGCTTGGGATGCCAGCTCTGAGCAGCAGGACCCCTCCCCCGCCTTCGGATCCCACATGGGCCAGTGACGCTGCGCCATCTACAGCTAAGATGATGAACAACAGCTCGACCTGGAGCTGGGCTGCCTCAAGTCGCCGCCGACAGCGTGGGCTGCAGTGGGGCTGGCCAGCAGCTAGCGTGAGCTGCCATGAGCCGCCGTAAGCGGCCGTCCAGTGGCTGGTGGGTGATTGCCTCAGTCAGGAAGAGCGCAATGATAATACCAACATAGTCCAGTGAAGCGATGTCCTCCACAACTAGACTGAAGAACAAAAAGGACAGCAGCTTGGGCCGGTCGAGTGGCACGATGGTTAAGAACTGGCTTGGGATGCCAGAGGGCCCCGGTTCGGATCCCACATATGAGGGCCAGTGACACTGCCCTCCACAGCTAAACAGCTCAACCTGGAGCTGGGCTGCTGTGAGTCGCCGGCGACGGCGTTGGCTGCAGCCCCTGTGGCAGTAGGTTGCCATGGGCTACCGTATGTAGCCAGCAGCCAGCGTGAGCGGCCGTCCAGAAGCCGGCGACTGAGCTGCCTCGCCTGGGAAGAACGCAATGATGGTGCCAACTTTGGCCAGTGAAGTAACGTCCTCCACAACTAGACTGAAGACCAAAACGACAGCAACTTGTCTGTTCTCCTTCCCCGATTCCCCAATAAAATCTTTAAAAAAAAAAAATATGTCAGTTGGAGATGAGGTGTCCTCTTGCAGGCATACTGGGCTCTGCTCCTGGGCCACCTTCCCTTGGGCCAGGGCTGCGGTGCCCAGCACGCTCGGGTCACTGGGCTGGAGCCAGAAGAGGGCTTTAGCTGGGGACAGCGTGCCCCTTCACGCGACTCCACTGGGCTGTAGAGACTGAGCCCTGGTGAGGCGGGTCCTGGTGGGTTGTCCTCAGGAGCCGACTTCAGCCACCCTCTGCTTCCTTGCAGGGATCGACTACAAGACTACCACCATCCTGCTGGACGGCCGGCGGGTCAAGCTGGAGCTCTGGTGAGTCAGGCTGTGCGAGGCTGCGGGGCTGGGGGCAGGGCTACAGCACTTCAGAGGTATTGCTGGGACCTCGGGAGCTAAATGACATTAAGTCAAGAAGCCTTAAAGAAACAGGAAGGAGTCCTGTTTACATTTCATGTGGAATAGCTGTTGAAAGAGCTCCTGTGTAAAAATGGAATGGATTCTGCTGTTATGCAGAAACTGAAAGGTCTGAGGCTGTTTGTTCTGATAGAGCCCAGCTCCCTTTGCCCCGTAAAGACTCATTTCCACAGTGGCCATGGCCCCTCTTCCCTCTCTTTACTGGGCCACACCCAAAGGAGCATTTTTCAGAGCCTTGAAGTTGGGAGTAAATTCCCACAGGTTTGGAGTTCTCCAGCCTGGCAGGGCAGTCCCCTGGGCACCCGGGCCCACAGAGGTTGGCCAGTGTGAGCTGTGGAGGATGAGAGTGAGTACTTTGCAGGGATCACTACGCACGCCGGGGTCCCACAGGCTGTGTCCCACTGACCCCCGTTGCCCCCGCCCTATGTTTCAGGGACACATCGGGCCAGGGCAGGTTCTGCACCATCTTCAGGTCCTACTCCAGGGGCGCACAGGTAAGACCAGCGACACTGCCAGTACTGCTCTCCAGAGGGACAGCTCGTGTTTCTGTGCTGTCACACCCCACGTGCATGACTCTTTCTAGGGAAGTTTGATGTTTGGATATCAGGCTTCCTTCCACTAGGCTGCCCTTTGAGCAAGGAGCCTCAGCGTCAGAGGGTACCAGGTCCCCATGTCCTTACTCTCTGTTCTTCACTCTGTGTCCCTGCTGGCTCCTGTGGCCGATGCCATGAGAGGTCTGCTGGGACCCTGTACTGTGGAAACTCGGCGTGCTCACCTGGTTCACTAGGAACCAAAAGTGAGTTTTCCCCGTCACCCAGGACCTCCACTTGTGGAGCGAGGAGGCTGCCGGGACAGCCAGGTCTGTCTCAGGGCTGGGGCCTCCCAGGGCAGGCTGGACTGTACAGAATGAGCGTTGGAGGGGCTGTGGGAGGGGCAGCCCCAGGACCTGAGAGAGGCGGGGTGTCAGCAAACAGTATGAGATGGGGGCTGTCCCAGGGGCTGCCATGGAAATGCATCCACGTTGGGTGGGTGTACAGGGGCCTGGGGCACCCCAGGAAAGTGTACATGGGTGCAGGGGCATCTTAGGGGAGCATGCAGGGGTTTGCTTGCCCCTTGCTCTGTCCCCTGGGCTCCCCCAACATGCTTCATGCTGAATGGACCTGTGTATGGTACGAGGCTGGAAGGAGAGGGGAAACGTAGTTCCATGAGCAGACCAGCTCTAGGCTCCCACTGCTGTGTCAACAATGAAGGACTTGGATGAAAGACCAGTCCTGTCTATAATACAGAGCAGGCCATGATTCCCCCCACCCCCAACTTCTGAAATTGCCAAGGGGACCCCCAAGTTCACACCTGCTCAGCCCTGCCCTGCACCTTAGGCAGTGTCCTCTGCCAGGAACAGCACACACTCATATGAGAGGGGGCACTTGGGCGTATTTTGGGGCCTCTGGCTGTGTGGGGTGCAGGCTCCAGATTGGCTGCACTGGCTAAGATCAGGAGCTTCCTGTCATGCCCTCACTCTGGCTTGGGCTCGTGGGGAGCACCATGTGGTATCCTTTTGGCTTTGTGAGTTGGGATTGATGGAGTCTGCAACTGCCCAGGCACCCCGTGCTCCTGCTGCTCTTGCTGCTGCACGGACACTGGACACGGACACTGGAGTCCAAGGGGGAGAGAAGTCTGTCCAGGGGTCTGGCTGAATCCGCTGAGGTGTTGTTGGGGACCCTTGACCCACACCATCCTCCAGGGCCTTCCTTAATGGGGGCCCCTCAGACTTGGTAGGAGGTGGGGAGACACCTAATGTGGCCTTCTTCTCTGCCGAGTGGGGGGCGCCGAGGACCCCTGGCTGGGCTTGGAGGCACCTGTCCTGGGAGCTACCACAGGGGTGTGGGTGATGGCACCTGGAGACAGTCTGCCAGTGTTGGGGGCCTGCAGAGGTGGCGCTTCACCCAGCAGTTCCACCTGGAGCAGCTGATCCTAAATAATCAGGGTGTGGATCACAGCTTGGGTGTTTGTCAGCAGCCCACATCGGCACCAGAGGTGGTAGTGAGAACTGCCTGCAGAACCCGGTGCCCTTCAGATAAGCGGGTCCCCAATTTCTTTAAAGAAGTGACTACATGCATGATTTTATACACACAGGAAGATGAGAAAGCTGTGTTCCAAACGGCAGCGCACATCACCCCAGACCGTGGGGTGACTCAGTTCTGTTGTCTTTCTTTTGCTTTTGAATATCTCCGTATTTTTCTGTAATAAACACACATTACATTTGACATTAAAAATTAAAGCAATAAAGGGGTCGTTACCTTGGGTTATGATAATGAAGAGCAATTGGGAAACATCTAGAAGACACTGAGATCAAACCTGAGAGGACTCAGCTCTTCTACATGCTCTGGGTATAAACATGCAACAGACTACAGACAGTTCTGTTCAGCTAACTGAAGACGCCCTATAAGCCTGGGAATTTGCCAGGTTATAGTGTTTTAAGGAGGCAGACGCTGGGTCATCACGTCCAAGTTCTCTCCAGAGTGTCCAGCCCAGTCAGTTGTGTATGTGTCGTTGCTCTTGCTTTGATTGTGGAGGTTCTTATCGTTTTTGGGCTAGAGGAGCCAGTCACCCATCTGGGGCCTGGGTGGTGGGTGGTGGATAGTGGGCTCTGAACTCGAGGCTGCCCTCGAGTGGCCCTGTCTCAGTGGCCCTGCTCCACCCTGTCCCACTGCCATCCTGCCTGGTGGTGGCAGTGCCAATGTAAAGATGGTATCCAGAGCAAGCGCCACCGGTTTGGTACAGAGCATAGCAGGACCGTCTCCCAGTTGAGTTTTGTATTTCCTGTCATGCTCCCACCCTTGGTTAAGACTGGAGAGGCCTCGTTAGGTCTGTTAGGGCCCAGGTCACAAAAACCACTGCCGACCCCTTGCTGCTATCACCTGTCCTGCAACAGGATTGCCTTGTGGTTCATAGTAACCTTTCTGTCTCCAAACTCCTAGGCCCAGGGCCCTAGTTGTCTGTTGCTGAGGTATGTATGAGGTGGCCACTTGTGACCCGGGGAAGCCGGTATCTCCTGCTGTTGGAGACAGAGTGTCCCCTGGGCTCCATGTACTGAGAGAGCTGGGGGTGGAGGGGCGTCCTGTTTAGTTGAAAGTTTGGAGTCACCTGGCTGAGCACCAGGGGGAACAGGGCCAAGTGCTGGTCTCCTGGATGGAAACGGATCGGTTCATTCCCACAAAAGGGGTTTCACATAGGAAATGGTCTAGGGTGCCACAAGTGCTGATTAGAACACCAGCATGCCCCTTGTCACCGGCTAGGTGGGTGGGTGTAGAGGTCAGGGACTGTTTAACAGTTGCTCCCCATTTTTGGTGTGTCACTTGCTTCTGGGCAGAGCCTGGGTGCTTGTGGGGGGGCAGGGGGCAGAGGTGTCCATGCGGAGCCTGTGTTCCTTGGAAGCTGTACCATACAAATGTACTACACGTGCCAAAATGGAATTTAATTTTTAAAAATGTACCTCTGTACCTTGTTTGGGGTGGTGATTGTACAGGTATATATATTTGTCCAAACTCATCAAACTGTTCACTTAAAACCTGTGCATCTTCAGGTATATAAACTATAGTTTGAAAAGTAACTTTGACAACAAGGGCACCCACTCCTGGGCCCAGCAATTCTACTTCTTTCAACTTGAACCGTATGTGCTCAGAAATTTATAATAAAGTAAGTTCGAAATGACCTGCGAGCTGACAGCACTGACTGATGAGCTTGGCCGGAGGTGCTGCCACTGTGGAAAGGGCAGGAGGTGCCAGCTGTGGGGGAGGCTCGGGTGGGGACCGCGTGGTTTGCAGCGTGACCTGTCTGTGCTGGGCACAAGCAGCTCTGTACAGAAACGTCAGGAAACAATAGATTATTCCTGGAGCGGTGGGGGAGTGCAGCAGCGGATGAGCTGCTATTTATACCCCAGAGTGCTAACTAATGTTTTACAATGTGAGCACATATTTTATTGTTTGAAAAAAACAGAGTATAGTGAGAACTGTTGGCCCCTCCTTCTGCCTCTTGGAGACACACAGCTGACCCCCTTGAGGGTCTGGCTCTGGTAACTAAGACCCTGAGTTTGGTTTCCCTGCCAAGTCCATGATCACTGTCGTCCCTGCTGCCTGCAGTGTGACCAGCTCTGTGTGCTCCCTCCCTGTATTGATGGGTCTCCTCTGTCATAACCCTGACTGTCAGATTTGGGCAGCCCCAGAGGCTGGTGCCAGCCTGGAGGGGCAGCCAGGGGATCCCCAACAGCCTCGGGGTGCCGTTGAAGCCTGAGCCCAAGCAATGGGCTTCTGCTCACTAATTTGAGCTTTTTAAACATAAACAAGAAGATAAGCCCCCATCCAGCCTTTCGACGTGTGGTTACATTCGCGGAAACCTTCTCTGTGTGGCGTGCTGTATGTTTCTGTTTTAAAACACTGTACTGTATGTAGCGTGTGGGAATCATGCTCCTGTGTGGTGTGCACCCGCCTAGGATGGGCACGTGTACTCTGAGGTGCACAGCTGTTACTTGGCATGTCTGCACCTCACCTTACTCAGCAGCCCCCTGACTGCACATGCAGTTTATTTGATACTCCGATGGACATCCGAGAAGGCTGGTCTTCAGACACATCCTCAATAATTTCTTAGGAGGGGATTTGGAGAGCCGTGCACCATCCCCACCTGATCCCAGGCCAGAGGACTTGGTTCCCTGTGCTCCAGGCAACAGGACTCACTCCTGCTACCCCGTGGTCCCCTCCAGTCTTACTCTCTGTCCCAACCAAAATGGTTTCTGCTTCTTCAGGTGGGCTCAAGGTGGTCTTTCCCTCCAGGGGTGGTGGGAGGCTCTGCTCTATGCAAGGCTTTCTGTCCAGAGAGCAGGAGTTACCAGGTGGGTGTTAAAGCAATTGCCATATTTGTCTAAAAAGGACCTAGGGGCTACACTTGTCTTCTAAAATATGAAGGACATTTTTAAGGGGAAAAGCTTTCAAAGTGTCTCATTTTGAGATGGAGATACTCTGTGCCTTCCTAATCAGCTGCGCTTTTTTTCTGCCCATGTGTGATGGAGACGTAGGCTAAATGAAGACGCAGTGGGATGGGAGGGTGTAAGTCTGCTTCTGAGTGGCGTGCAAGGCCAGACAGGCTGGGGGGCTCTGGGGGCACTCTCTGGAATCACCTTCCTGAGGCCTGTGACAGGTCACTGCTGAGACATTCAGGGCAGATGGAGACAGCCCAGAGCCGAGCTCCAAGTAATTAGTCTCTAAGGGATGTGACGGGAAAGTCTCATAGCAAATGCCCTGCTGCCTGGTGTGGCTGCACGCGCAGTTGCCCGAGTGACTGATGTCCTCTGCAAGTTTGGGTTGCAAAGCTGAGAAACGCCTCTGCTCACCTCCCCCGAGCCCTAGGCAGAGTGTCGGGGGATGCTGCCCACATCCGCCTGTCAGGATTGTCCGTCCACAGGGCCTGCCCCTCGCCATAGATGGGTGGTGTGTACCTGTCTTAGCTCTTGTGACTTTTAAATGGTCACAGGCTAGTGCTTACGATGTGCTTGGAGAAAAGAAGTTAAAAAAAAACGCCGGTTCTGTCTCAGCTTAGTTCCCAAGGGGAGATAGGGGGCAGCATTGAGCCCACAAGATCTTTGACCATCAGATGACATTGCTGCCACCCCACACGAGGGCGTCCAGGGCCACACGTGCCTGGCCACGGTGAGGAGACGCAGTGCCCAATACCAGAGGCCCCTCTTAATGTGACAGGGCCCCTCACAGTGTGTTGTCCCCACTGCCGTGTGCTAAGTCACCCATCCGATCCCCTGAAAGCTGTGTGGCTGTGCTAAGGGTCCCAGCCCTGCCTGTGCTGGGAGGGATGGCTTGTGTCCGAGCTCATGAACGTGCGGGACAGGAGCCCCTGGCGTGGCCGAGCCCTCAGCACCTCCCTTGCAGGGGATCCTCCTGGTGTACGACATCACCAACCGCTGGTCCTTTGACGGCATTGACCGCTGGATCAGAGAGATTGACGAGGTAGGTGTGCACCTGCAGACACCCCTTCCAGGGCCACCCCCTTCTGGGGCCCCCCATATCTGCCCCTCCTGTGGCCCCAGCTCCGTGCATCTCTCAAGCACTGACCGCCATGGCACTTAAAGGGCGGGTCCTGTCTCCAAGGGGCTGAGCCCCACCTTGTCACAGCGTGGGGAGGGAGGACAGCTGAGAAGGGGGCATCCCGCGTTCATGCCTTGCTGAGTCTTGTTCCCCCCCAAGCATGCACCTGGGGTCCCCCGGATCCTGGTTGGGAACCGGCTGCACCTGGCCTTCAAGCGGCAAGTGCCAACGGAGCAGGCGCGTGCCTACGCGGAGAAGAACTGCATGACCTTCTTTGAGGTCAGCCCACTGTGCAACTTCAACGTCACCGAGTCCTTCACGGAGCTGTCACGCATCGTGCTCATGCGGCACGGCATGGAGAAGATCTGGAGGCCCAACCGAGGTGAGGTGCAACCCCTGAGGTGAGGTGGGCCCCTGAGGCCTGAGAACAGAACAGTCAGCCCTTCAGAGATTGTGGTCCCTCTCAGGGGTCCGGGCTCCCTCGTCATGGGGCTTCCATGATGCGCTGTGGCTGAACCAGCATACTTCCTACATGTCCTCTGTTTGGGGATCCCCGGAGTTATGGGAGGGGCCTGTGTATTACCCTCTACTGGTGCACTTGTGCTGGGAGTGGTGCTGTGGGCCCTGATATGTCCTAGAGCAAACAGGGGAGCGGCTGCCAGCCCCTCCCTCCCAGAGTTGAGCCGTAAAGAGCCTGGCTGAGTGCTTCCCTGGTCCACGGACATAAGCCATGTCCTCCCAGAGATGCAGTCCCCTGCCGGGCTGGTGCTGGGGGCAGAGCGGCCAAGCCCTCAGAAGCGTGGTTCCCTGAGGCACTTCTCAGTGTGCAGCTCTAGGGGGAAAGCTGGAGCAGAGCGCCATCCAGTGGCTGCTCCTGGTGGTGCCTAGCACCAACGGAGTGGTTGGACATCCAGGGTCCGTGTTCCCGGAAACCTCTATGTCACACTGAGCATCACTGTGCTTATCTGGCCAGACACCTGCTCGCCCTCCTGCCTTGAGGCCTGAGGCTCTGAGATCTTGCAGCACCCCTCCCCCATGTCAACACCCCCAATCTGACCATCCTCCCCATGGTCTGACCCACCCCCATGTCTGACGCCCCTCCCCATGGTCTGATCCTCCCACGCACACACACACCTCCCCCTGAGGTCTGACCTCCCTTGTCCCCCCTAGTGTTCAGCCTGCAGGACCTCTGCTGCCGTGCCATCGTCTCCTGCACCCCCGTGCACCTCATCGACAAGCTCCCGCTGCCTGTCACCATCAAAAGCCACCTCAAGTCCTTCTCGATGGCCAATGGCATGAATGCTGTCATGATGCACGGGCGTTCCTACTCGCTGGCCAGTGGGGCGGGGGGCGGCGGCAGCAAGGGCAACAGCCTCAAGAGGTCCAAGTCCATCCGCCCCCCACAGAGCCCACCCCAGAACTGCTCCAGGAGCAACTGCAAAATTTCTTAGCGGGGCAGGCTAGTGCCTCCTGTGCCTGTCCAGATGCACTGGGGAGCGAGGGCTCAGGCTTGGGGAAGCTCCTGGCACCATGTGCAGGGAAGACTTTGGCCACAGGGTACCCTCCTGGGAGCATGGGCACACCTCGTGGGCAGGTGGCCTCCACCCGATGAGCCCTGTAGGACAGACAGCAGAGGCTGCGCTGTGGAGCGAGCCCAGGTCACCATGTGCTCTGCCTGGTCCCGCCTCCAGGGGACTGTCCTGGGTTCCCACAGAGCCTGGCTCACTTTTATTTATACAGAAGACATTTCACCACTTTCGTACCTTTTTAAAGGGCTGACGGGGAAGCCTTAATGCAGCCACGGGGTGAGCATGAGTCCACTCGTGGGGACGAACTTGGGGACATTAGAGAGGGAGGGATTTGCAGCAAAGATGGGAAGGAATCTGGTCACGTACACTTCATGTGGTGTGTGGGCTATACAGGGGCCCGTGGGGACACGTGGAGCTTCGGGCCACCGTCTCGGACCCCACTGCTCATTTTGGCCTTTCTGAGCATGGTGGTCAATGTGCCCAGCACTGTGTGGTGCCGGTGTGGGCCTGGCCGTCTGCACAGTGGGGCTGCAGCTTCCCGGGCGATGTCCCAGTGTGTCATGGAGCCATGGGATCCCAAGTGGAGCACCGACGTTTCTGGAAGAGGAGAAGCGGGGTGCACCCCACATCCTTTCCTGTGTGAGGGCATCTTGGGTCACGTTTACATATGTTGCTACGTGAGACAGGCTCAGCATCTCTCCGAGTGAAGATGCAAAGCCATCTGCAGGTGATAAGTATTCAAGGGGCCGCCTGGTGCTGTGCGGTTCTGTACTGAGTCACTGCCCACTCGCCTCCCAGGCGTCTGGACCCAACTCTTGCCAGCTTCTGTTCCTTGACCTTGGGTGTCACCCCATAGCTGCTTCTTGCCCAGCATCACCCCTCTGCGAGGTCCCATGGCACCAGAACCATTCTACCCATTTCTTTCTTTCTTTTTTTTTTTTTTTTAAGCTGATCCATCCTGCCATCTGTTGGCAGCTCAGCAGCTGCTCAGCTCGGGCCAGGAATCGAACCGCTGTTGCTCAGAGCTCAAACTCTTGAGCGAGCTTTTAACCAACTGAGCCACTCGGCCGGCCCCATTCTACCCATTTCTTAGTGGTGTCACCTGGAGCAGCCACAGCGGTGACCCCAAGTCCCTCCTCCAGGACCTGGCAGCCAGCCCTGTGCTGGAGGTCTGCCTCCTCCAATCCGCCTGGCTGGTGACCTAGCCACTGGTCATACTGGTGCTCAACTCTACCTCCTGCTGGGCCCTCCCTGGGCCTGAGACCCCCTCATGCTGGGGCACCTCTGCAGTGGGTATCTTACCCCCAGGGCAGCCCCATGTCTGCTCTTCTGGGAGGCAAGTTGGGGAGGGGGCGGAGGCCCATGTGAGCAAGGGCGCCTGGGAACCCCTGCGGAGGCCTGGCCACCAGCAGGGTCAGGCAGAGGAGGCCCCGCCCATCCTGTCCCACCAACCCAACCCCTTTCTTTGGACTTTGATCTGAATCACACGGACTTTATTTTGAGGCGTGGACTGTCCTGCGTTCACCACATAAACACTACCCTTTGCTGCTGACACTTGCACCATTCCTGAGCTCATTTTGGACTGTTTCTTTGTATAGTAAATGTAATTCAGCTCTGACCTCCAGGCTGCATTTTATGTGAATTAAAAGTCTCTGGTTTTAACTGGCTGGAGGGTTGGAGGTGTGATGCAGGGGGGTGGGTCTTTACTCTGAGAAGGTAGGTCCAGCACAGCTTTGTTGACCCCTCCGTTCCCCATGACTGGCCGGACTGGGAGGCCTGAGCTTGGCTACAGCCGCCCCCCATTACTGGGCAGGCTGCATTTCATGGTGAGCCAGGCAGGCAGCCCTCCCCAGCCTGTCCCTCCCTCTGTGGTAGGGAAGCAGATGCTGGCAGACCACTTGCTCTCTGCTGCCCCCAAACGCTAGAACCTGGGATTCTGAACCCTTGCTGATGACTGGCGGGGCCTAAGAGCTGAGCTCCTTGTTGCCTGAGAGGGTGGTGCACATGGAGCCAGGAGTGCAGCGTGGGACCAGGGGTGGGCCATGCCCTGAGACTTACTCCAGCCTTGGGGACCAGGGCCCAGGGGTGTGGTGAACGCCCTGGAGGTCAGCAGGGATGGGGGGGACAATGCTCTGAATGCGACACTCAGTGGCCCCACACTCAGACCACACTTTTGCCTGCAGCTTTTAGGAGGGTCTTGGGCCTTGAGCCCCGTCTGGTCTGGCCCAGTGCCCCCCCCCCGCACACCCATGGTCCTCTCGCAGGGCAGACCAGTGGCATCCTCCAAACCTGGGACGCCTCTCTGTCTCATTTTGACCAGACCAGGCTCTTATTACCCGGCCTCCTGGGTCAGAAGGTCAGACACAGGGTCACGGGATGTTTTCCATCCAGTCTCAGCAGATGCTCCTGGGGCCCCAAGGAAGGGTTTGTAAGGGCGGATTCTGGCAGCCCCTGCGTTTGATCTCCCTTCCCCCTCCTTCCCAGTCCTGAACCAGGGCTGGGAGGGTCCGCCAGACGGCTTTGATCCCCCGAGCCCAGGGCCTGGAGGGAGGAGGGGCTCCGGTTACAGTGTCCCCTCCCCTCCCCTCTCCGGCCAGAGCCGGCCGGCCCTTCTCCGCCCCTCCGTAACCCTCGTGGCCAGTGTCTCCTTGCTCCTGGGCCTCAGCCCCTCCCGAGCCCTGCCCCCCCTCCCTGCTCCCTGCCCTACGCTGACCATAGAGGGGCCAGACTGGGAAGAGGCCGCGCCAGAGCTGAGAGAGACCTGGAACCCACCCAGCCCTCCACACACGGGTGTTGAAACAAGCATCTGCTGTGGGCTCAGACCTTGGGGGCCAAAGGGAAGCCAGGAGGACCAGCCCGAGGGCAGGGGCACCGACTAAGGCCTGGAAGGGTGGATGCCTGCAGGGAGCTGGGCTCGCTGGGGCCTGAGGGGCTGGCGGCCACACACCCCCGCCCCCTGGCCCAGTGGTCCCCATGTCGGCCCAGAGGCTGCTCCTGCCGCTACTCCTCATGGTTGGGCTAATCTTGGGGGCCAGCCTGCCGCAGGGACCTGGGAGCCACCCGGGGGTGTGCCCCAACCAGCTCAGCCCCAACCTGTGGGTGGACGCCCAGAGCACCTGTGAGCGTGAGTGCGTCGGGGACCAGGTGAGCATGGGCTTCATTCCCACCCACCCCGGTGGGGGGCCCAGAGAACTGGGATGGCCTGAAGGAAGCCCAGACCCCACCCCTGTCCCCAGGTCTTGCCTGCAGAGGGGACCACAGCTCCGGAAGCCTACTTCTTCCTTGGCTCCCACACTCCTACCAGGGTTTCAGGCCGTGCCCTGTATGAGGGTCTCAGGGGACACCCCCAACCTTTGCCCTCCCTATTCCCCAAACCTGCCCACCCCCACCCTGGGGCCAGTTGTTCTCAGGACCAGCCAGGTAGAGAAAGGCAGGAGCCACATCCAGATATCCTGCCTTTTCAGCCCTGCCCTGCCTCCCCCAAAGTGGCCTGAGCATGCTGCTCTTCTTCCCTGGGCCTCAGTTTCCTCATCTGTACTATGGGAATAATCAAACCCTGCTTTGAAGGGCAGGGTCTAGGATTCAGTGAGGTTTCGTAAGATGACACACAGGACTGGTGTATGAGGCAGGGGAAGCTCACTGCTTTGGATGGAAAGCGAATTTGTGCAACTCTGTTTTTCAGAGGGGGAACAGGCTCAGGGAAAAGCAGCAGGGGTGTGCCCTGCTCAGCAAGCCAGAGGCCTGGGTAGGGCTGGGGGTGTTAGGGCACCCGCTGAATTTGTCCCCCACCCCCCCAGGACTGCGTGGCCGCTGAAAAGTGCTGCACCAATGTGTGCGGGCTGCAGAGCTGCGTGGCTGCCCGCTTCCCTGATGGTGGCCTGGCTGTGCCCACACTGGTGGCCTCGTGCGAGGGCTTCACATGCCCGCAGCAGGGCTCTGACTGTGACATCTGGGATGGGCAGCCTGTGTGCCGCTGCCGTGACCGCTGTGAGAAGGAGCCCAGCTTCACCTGCGCCTCCGACGGCCTTACATACTATAATCGCTGCTACATGGACGCCGAGGCCTGTTTGCGTGGCCTCCACCTGCACGTTGTGCCCTGCAAACATATCCTCAGCTGGCCACCCAGCAGCCCAGGGCCACCCGAGACCACCGCCCGCCCGACGCCTGGGGACGCCCCGGTGCCACCAGCCCTCTACAGTAGCCCTTCCCCCCAGGTTGTGTATGTGGGGGGCACTGCCAGCCTCCACTGCGATGTCAGTGGTCGCCCGCCACCCGCTGTGACTTGGGAGAAGCAGAGTGACCAGCGGGAGAACCTGATCATGAGGCCAGACCAGATGTACGGCAACGTGGTAGTAACCAGCATAGGGCAGTTGGTGCTTTATAACGCCCGGCCTGAGGATGCGGGCCTGTACACCTGCACCGCACGCAATGCTGCCGGCCTGCTGCGGGCCGACTTTCCACTCTCCGTGGTCCAGCGTGAGCCAGCCAGGGACAAGGCCCCCAGTGCCCCCACCCTGGCTGAGTGCCTGGCCAACACACAGGCCTGTGCCAGCCCCACCTCCAGCCGTGTTCTCTGGCACTTTGACCCACAGCGGGGCAGCTGCATGACCTTCCCAGTTGGCAGCTGTGACGGGGGCACCTGGGGGTTTGAAACCTATGAGGCGTGCCAGCAGGCCTGTGCCCGTGGCCCCGGGGACACCTGTGTGCTGCCAGCCGTGCAGGGCCCCTGCCAGGGCTGGGAGCCACGCTGGGCCTACAGCCCCCTGCTGCAGCAGTGCCACCCCTTTGTGTACGGTGGCTGTGAAGGCAACAGCAACAACTTCGAGAGCCGAGAGAGCTGTGAGGATGCCTGCCCTGTGCCGCGCACGCCGCCCTGCAGGGCCTGCCGCCTCAGGAGCAAGCTGGCACTGAGCCTGTGCCGCAGCGACTTCGCCATCGTGGGCCGGCTCACCGAGGTGCTGGATGAGCCTGAGGCAGGCGGCAGCAGCATCGCCCGCGTGGCCCTAGACGACGTGCTCAAGGACGACAAGATGGGCCTCAGGTTCTTGGGCACCAAGTACCTAGAGGTGACGCTGAGCGGTATGGACTGGGCCTGCCCCTGCCCCAATGTGACAGCCGGGGACGGCCCACTGGTCATCATGGGTGAGGTGCGAGACGGGGTGGCCGTCCTGGATGCTGGAAGCTACGTCCGCACTGCCAGCGAGAAGCGCATCAAGAAGATCTCAGAGCTCCTGGAGAAGAAGGCCTGCGAGCTGCTCAACCGCTTCCAGGACTAGCCCTGCCCACCCGGTGCTCTGCCTGCCCCTGCCCTACCATGCCTCCAAATAAAATTGGTTCCCAGGAGGGACCTTGTGGCCTGCTGATGCTGAGCCTCCCAGGGGTACTACCCTTTCCCCACCCAGCCTGTAATTCAGCTAGGGTCCTGCCACCACTCTGGGGCTTTGTCTCCCATCCTAGGTCACCAGGGAGCACCAGTTTCCCACTGGGGAGCCTCCTGTCTCCCTGCAGGAGGCCCAGAAGTGGGTGCCACCTCCCATGGTGGAGGTCCATGCAGCCAGCTCAGTCCTGCCTCAGCAGTCCCTGGGTCCTCTTCCTTCTGTGCTGCCCAAGCAAAGCAGCAAGGTCCAGGATGTCCCCAAGTCCTGGCCCCACAGGCCAGACCCTTCCTGCCCCCAGTATGGAGCCCTCAGAGACAGCCTGCCCACCCAGCACCACCAGGGGTGCCCCCAGGAGGAGGAGTGGACACCAGCAAAAGGACAGCAGGAAACACTTTATTCCCAGGCTCTCAGCAGCCCTGTGGCCACGGGCCAAGAGCACCCACACCGGGCAGGGCCAGTCCCCATGGCTTGGCCCAGGGAGGCAGGGGCTGGCTGTCTGGGTTTGTCCCAGAAAGGGCCTCTTTGGGGACACAGGGAGAAGGGTGGGTTACTCTTTCCGGAAAATCAGGCACTTGTTGTTGGCTGGCATGTCCACCTGGAAGAGATGCTTTGGCTGGAGAAGCTGCTCAGGGAGGCCACCCATGCCCCCAGCCCTTCCCACCTACCGTCCTCTCCAGGAGCAGGCCGCTAGCCTGGCCCAGGTCCTGCAAGAGGGCTGTGTCCCGCAGTCCCCACTCAGGGTTCCTGCAGGGGCGAAGGAGGTGGAGTCGTGGCCTGGGGGGTGTCACCCAGCCCACCTGCCCTCCCAGCCAGGTGCCCCACCCACCCAGCTCTAACCTGCATCTGAGGGTCAGGTCAAAGTCCACATTGCTCTGGGGGGAGATCTTCCCATTGACCGCATAGGGCTGTGGAGACAGGGGTACGGCTCTGCCCACAGCCCCAAGGTCAGCCATTCCCGTCAGACCCGGTGCAGACTTGCAGGCTGATGCCCAGAGGATAGAAAAGACACAGCTCCCAAGAGAGGACAGCCAAGGATCCCAGCAGGTGAGCCAAGAAGGTGCAGGGAGACTGAGGGGAGGATCTAGGCACCATTCAATAGTGATGGAGTGGGGGAAAGGGCAACTGAAAATACCTAGACAGGAGGCAGGGAGTGCGGAAAGGAGAGGACAGCTGAGACTGGCTGGGATCCTCCTGCCACAGGAGGCTCAGCTCTGGCAGGAGCACTCACCCCGTAGGTGATGAGCAGCGCCTTGGGTTTGAGCAGGTGTCCTGCTGCTCTGAAGAGCCCCTGGGGACCAGGAGGGCAGTGAGGCGCTTTCCCCGGGCCTCCCAAAGAGCCCTGGGGTGGGGGCTGGAGACAACCTAGTCTCTCCTGGCCTCAGTGCCCTAGGATATGGGGCAAACCCGGCACCGTGCTCCCTCCCAGTGCAGGAAGCGGGGTGCAGCATGGCGCGGGTGGCCGGCCCGTGGGTGGTTAGCCCATGCTCCCACAGACCTCAGTGCATTTCAGAGGGCTGATGTGGATCATGTTGATGCAGAGCAGCAGGTCCAGCGACTGCGGCAGGATCCCACCCCATTGCTCCCAATGCCAGGTCACGTCCAGGTACAACGGAATCTTCACATTGGACAGCCCCTGGGCCTGAGTGGTGGCGGAGATGCTGTGGGAGGACAGCCTGTGGGTAGGGGTGGCCTGTGCACCCGTTCCTGACGCTCCCTGCAAACCTGCTCACAGAGGTCACGGTGGCGTGGGGAACCGGGGCCGCGGGACAGGGCCCCTTTTCACTACCCGGGATCGCGCCTCCCCCCCGCCCCAACCTGTCCAGGCAGCGCTGGTCCACGTCGGATGGCTGCCACTCGGCGTGGGGGAACGCCTGCGCGAAGTGGGCTGTGTGCTGGCCGGACCCCGAGGCGACCTCAAGCACGCGGACGCCGCGCTGAGTCGGGTCCACATACTGCCGCAGCACACGCAAGATGGGCTCCTTGTTCCGCTCGGCAGCCGCCGCCACCAACATCGCTACCGCACAGACAGCCCGCCAGCAGCGGTAGTTTGCCTGGAGCCGTAGTCCTGTCGTCGCAAGGTCCGCCGGGAGTTGTAGTCCGGCCTCCGCCAAGCCCGCCCCCCCCCCCCAGGAGGACGCGCGCGGAGGGTTAAAGGAACTGCAGCTTCAGGGGGCGCTCAGGGAGCGGTAGCCCTCGGTGGGGGACGGGGCGGCGAGCTGGGGTCGCTGGTTTGCAGGGGTCGCTGGTTTGCAGGTGCTGTTTAGCTCAGCGTCCTGTTGCCATGGACGTCGTAACATTTTTATAGAGTTTGTCATTCTCTGAAACTGTGTCTTGTTCGTGCTGTATCGGAGTGGACGGTTCCCCCTTCTTTCTGGTGTTCTCTTGTTTTGAAATTTATGTTATGACCGAGAGAGATAATTTTTTTGAGATGGGGAGAAACTAAAAAGAGCAAAGTGCGCCGCCCGGGAATCGAACCCGGGTCGCAAGAATGGGAATCTTGCATGATACCACTACACCAGCGGCGCTTGTTGGCAACGTGGTGGCCGGAGAGACCTAGGAGATTGTGACGCAACCGCATCCTGCTCAGAAATGCCATAGCGCCTGCGCCGCGCCGCCGCCGCCGCCTCCGCCTCTGTCGGGAGGCCCGGCTCTGTGCACTGCAACCAGCAACTAGGGTAGGGGCACCGGCTGGACAGGGTCCGTGACGGCGGGAGTCTCGCAGTGTTGCTTGTGCTCCCAGGGCTGGAGGAGAAGAAGCGGGGTTTGGGGACGGCCTTGATTCGGGTCTGCACGGTGGAAACCATGGCAACCGCGGGACTTCCGGAGCGGATGGGGGCGGGGCCATGGCAAGGTTCCTCCCGGGGCGAAGCTGCGGGTGGGCAGGGCGGTCTCAGCTTGCAGGAGCTGGGCAGTCCCGAGAGAGGGGAACCTTGTGATGCTCAGGGCTTCTCTACGACAATGAGATGATCAGCCTTAGCCTAGGGTCCACAGATGTGGTGAGGGGTCGGTGACCCCTGAATCAAATTGATGGCCGATTTGTTCTCCAGCGTGCTTGCCCAGTTGGCCCTGTTTCACAGGCTGAGGGCCGTGCCCTGCAGTGAAGACTAGCTTAACTCTTACTGGACAGTTTTTCGCGATTGAGACCCTCCATACTCGACGACACTCTAGCTAGGACTCAGATGGCCCTGTCCCGGACTTGAGCCTGGAATTGCCCGCCTGGGGGCGTGCAGGGTGGGATCAGGATCTGGGGTGTGCTTGTGGTCAGACATGGAGGGAAGTAGTATCTGCCACCTGGGAGAGTCTCACTCAGTGGGCCGGCTGGCCTCGCCTCCAGACAGGCCTGGAGGCCTTCTACATCGTGACCACCCGTCTTCCTTCAGCGGTCTTTCTCACTTCACAGAGCCGAGCTTTCCTTACCTGACTCACCTTTTGCCTCACTTTCTCCTGGTTTGTCCACTGAGTATTTTCCGTGTCTCCGGGTGGTGGAGCCGTGTCTCTCAATGCACATACCTGCCCCTGACCCCCACCTATGACCAGTGGTCACCTGAGGTCTCGCTGCCTACGCCCCTCACCATTCCTCACCAACCTAGAGCCACCAGCTTCCTGCTGGCTTCACGTGGGATTCCCTGGGCATGGGCCACCCTATGATATTGTCAGGTAAAAAATACACATTTGGTCTTTGTTCCAGTTCCTGGGACAGAGCTCCTAAAATCCTGGGATTTCCTGAGTGATGGGGTGAGAGGAGCATCTGTTGTTATTCATGAACAAGCCCCTTTCAGCCTTACCTGGGTTTATACCCTTAAGATGACTCTTGGAGGAAGAGAGCTGGTTGCCAGGGGAACCCACCTTGTGATTAGAGGGTTGGAATTTTCAGCCCTGCTCCCAACCTCCTTGGATGGGAGGGGCTGGAGACTGAGCTGATCGCCAGTGAACAATGACAATCAGTTATGCCTGTGTAATGGAACCTCCATAAAACCCTTAATGAAGGGCTTTGGAGAGCTTCTGGGTTGATGAACACGTGAATTTCTACCCACACTGCTGGGGGGGGAGGGGTGGAAGCTCTGCTCTTCCCTCACCTTCCCTGTGCGTCCCTTTCATCTGCAGTTCCCAAATCGTAGCCTTTCTAATAAACCAGTCAACATAAGTGTTTCCTTGAGTTCTGTGAGCGCCTCTAGTAAAATATGGAACCCAAGGATGGGTCGGTCGTGGGAATCCCAATTTATAGCTGGCCTATCAGAAACACAGATGACAACCCGGACTTGTGACTGGAGTTTGAAGTGGGGTGGTCTTGTGGGACTGAGCCCTCAGCCTGAGGGGTCTTGCACTGACAGTGGGCAGGCAGTGTCAGAATTCAGTTAAATTGTAAGACACCCAGTTGGTGCCCACAGAGAACTGGAGAATTGCTCAGTGAGGAAAACCCACACATTTGGTGTCAGAAGCGTTGTAACTATTAAAAAAAAATTGTAAGTATAGAAAGTTTTCCTTTACACCCCATGTCCTCTCAGAGGGGAGGAGCCTGAGGCTGACTGTTCCCCCGCTTCCCTCTTGTCATGTGTGCTGCTTGAAGGAATGGCCCAAATGCTTCTGTTTAACAGCACTTGATCTCAGGTTGATAACCGCCTGCCACATCCATTACTGGACACTGTGTGAGCTGACATCTGCCCTCAGCGCTCACCAACCTTAGTGCCTGGGACCAAAGCAGCTGACCAAGGCTGAGTGGCAGCTTTTGTTTTAGTGTGTGTGTGTGTGTGTGTGTGTGTGTGTGTGTGTGTGTGTGTGTGTGCGCGCGCGCACGCGCGCGCATGTTTTCTGGAATGCCATGGATGTGTGTCAGACTTTGGAAGGGTTCGGGACCCCCACAGAATGCTGAACAATGGACCCCTGGAATGTGTCCTGCACCCCAGCCTGTGCTCAGTAGTGCTTCCTGGGGTTGTGTTTCCTGAGGCTGAATTATTGTTGGGGCCAGAAGTGTCCTCTTCTGAGGCTGAATTTGGCTCCCAGGCAGCCTTTGAAAGGGGCTTACCTCCCACTGTGTGGAAGGTACCCTGGCATGGGCCACCTTTCCAGATGTGTGTTTATCCACATGATAAAATATCCAGCATCCAGGGAGCCATGAAGGGACACGAGATCCCGGGTCCTTCTGCCCACGCTGCAGCACCTCCTCCTGACCTTGGCCTCAGGCCTCAGTCCAGGGCCCGGATGTACTTCCTCCTGAGGGATGCACATCCCATACTGCACTTCCACCTCCAGGAGGCCACCCCCCACCCCCACCTGTCTTGGGGTCCCATGCACAGGAGGTGCTCAGGAAATATCTGGTGGGTGAGGGGGCTCCTGGGCAGGGGCCCCCACCTCCTCCAGTCATGCTAACCCACAAAGGGGCTGTGGAGCAAGCCTCCCCAAGTGCTGGCCCCACTGGAGCCAACAACAGGGACCACTGCCCACCATTCACTGAACCCTGCCCCACTCCAGTCGGGGGTCCTCACTTCCTCCCAGGCCTTCCATGCTTCCCCTCCAGTTCCCTCACCCGCTACCACTCCCCTAGGTATGTCTACTGTAACAAATTTTCCCCAAACTTGGTGACTTACAACAAGAGAAATTTATTTTCTCACAGTTCCAGCGGCCTGGAGTCCAAAATAAGGGTGTCAGCTCCCTCACAGCCCACAAGGAGGCTCCTTCCTCACTGCTTCCAGCTCCTGGCAGCTGTAGGCATTCCTGGGTTTGTGGCTGCCTCACTGGTCTCTGCCTCCATCTTCACCTGGCCTCCATCTCCTCTGTGTGTCTCTGTGACCAAACCTCCCTCTCCTTTCTCTTACTAGGACTCTCATTACTGGATTCAAGACCCGCCCTAATCCAGGATGGCCTTATTTCGAAATCTTCGCCTTGCTTTTTCCAAACAAGGTCACATTCTGAAGTTCCAGGTGCATGTACCTTTTGGGGGCCACCATTCAACTCACTGCATTTGGGCTTGGCAGTGGGCAGTAGGCGTGGGAGCATCAGCCAGAGCCTTTCCTGTGGCCACCCCTCCATTGGCAGAAGCCCATCCTCCCGTCTGAGTTGGTGAGGGCATGGATTTCAGATCATAGCAAGTGATTGAGGCTGACTGAAAATATAAGCTGCTTTCTTCTTTTATTGTACACAACATTTTATTTTTATTTTATTTTTTTTTAAGATTTTATTGGAGAATTGTGGGAGGGGAACAGCGCTGGGGAATCGGGGGAAGGAGAACAGACAAGTTGCTGTCCTTTTGTTCTTCGGTCTAGTTGTGGAGGATGTTGCTTCACTGGCCCATGTTGGTATTATCATTGCGCTCTTCCCGAGTGAGGCAGATTGGTCACCGGCCTCTGGACGGCCACTCACTGCGGCTCACGGCAGCCCAGCTCAAGGTCGAGCTGTTGTTCATCATCTTAGCTATAGAAGGCAGTGTCCCTGGCCCTCATGTGGGATCTGAACCAGGGTCCTGCTGCTCAGAGCTGGTGTCCCAAGCCAGCTCTTAACCAACATGCCACTCGGCCAGCCCTGTATACAACATTTTAGTAGTGTACCTAGAGCCTTTTTAAAGAGAAAAGTAGTACTTGTTTTTATTATGATGATGGGATCCGTGAGGGAAAGAAAAACCTTTTCTTACCCTGACAACCATTTTTTCTGCATGCCGGGTGCGGTCCCCTCCCTTCGGTCCCCACCTCCAACTCCAAGATGGGCGCCTACCCTCTCTGACAGTGGGATTGCTGCTGGCTGCAGAATGCTGCCTCTGGGGGGGGGGGGGCTCTCACAGGCTAAGGTGCCTATCACAGACAGTGATCCAGGGGGGACCGAGAAACTAATGACAACTCGATCACCATATCAAGAGTTTATTAAGGGAACTTACATAAGAGGTGTGTCTTGGGAAGTGGCAAGATGACATGTCAAGCCCTAAGTAGGTAGGACAGGGCAAGATGGATGGGGTACTAGGGTGTGACCCACCCCAGATAAGGGAAAAAACACCTTACATGCCTGCCTGGGGAAGAGGAAAGGCCTACTCCAGGAACCAGCACAAACCAGCACACCTGGTGCACAGGGGAGGGGATCAGACAGTCTCTGAGGGGTTTAAGGGGAAGCAACCTCTGGTCTGGCTGGACCCAGCTTGAGGGTCCCACAGTAGTCATGTCATTGAATAGTTTCTCCTCCACGTGGGAAGGCCAGGGAGGCCGGTGGGGGTGGGGAGCACCTTGTGCTGACTGGGGTTCCTGCCTGTCCAGGAGAACCAAGCTGAGCTCTTGGGGCCCCTAGCTGGCCTATCCCATGCCCCCTGGATGCCAGGCTCCATTCCAAGAACAAGGCAGGATTTGTGCTCATACATAATTGGGTCCTGGGAGCAGTGAAGCTGGTAAGCCTCCTCTGTGGGGGGCCAGGCCCCCCCCCTCACCCCGGCAGGTGCCCCCCACAACCTGGCCTTCCTCCTCTCTCAGTTCCCCATGCTCACTTGGCTCAGCGTCTCTTGGAGACCACTGGGCCCTCTCACCCTTTCACCCCTCCAGCCCACTGCTTGTCCTGTGCCCCCTTTCCGCCCCACTGTCAGGGCCATTCCAGTTGTGCTTGTCTCTCCTGGGCCCTTCCCAGGGCTTTGGATCCAACCTTTGACCTCAGAAAAGGCCTGTGGGCAGGGCCAGGCCATTAGGGCTTCCCCTCATCCAGGTCAGCCTGAGTGGGGGAGGGGGGAGGAGCTCTCAGAGAGCTCCTGTCAGTTTGGGGGAAGAGGGGGCACATGCTTCGCCCTTCCAGAGCCTTGCTCCCTCTGCCAAGAACACAAACCCTCAGGACACAGGCCCCCCTCAGACCCCTCCCCCTGTGGTGTCTCCCCATCGTGTGAGTCAGCAGCGTGCTCGAGGCCACCAGGAAGGCCAGGACAGCCAGCACAGATGATGCAGGACCATGCTGGCCTTGATGCTGCTGGGAGTAGGTGTGGGCACCACAGGGGTAGAAAGGGAGGCCTGGACTCGGGGGCCACGCTCTTGTCTGGGGGTCTGGGCTCACCAGCCTGCTCTCACGTCTCAGGGTTATAGGCCTAGCCCAGCCTGACTGGGCCTGAAGAGGAGGCAGCTGGTCACTTGTCCTTCAGCCTTGCTTGGGACAGGATGCAGAGCCAAGGGGCTGTATGTCAGGGGCACATGAGAGGAAAGACAGTCCAGCTCCCCCTGGACTGCAAGCTTCCCTGAGGGTCCCCGAGCAGGCCTGGTCACCCCACACAGGCGCATGGCGTAGCCTGGGAGAGAGCACAGAGCAGGTGGAGTGGCGGGGGGGGGTTCTTCCTGCTGGCCCATCATTCTGCACCCTGCTGCTCCTACTTGGCCAGCAGCCACCCCTCACTCCTCTCCCAGTTGTGACCTCTGCTTGTCTTCCCTGGCCTCTCAGCCTTGCCTGTATGGGGGGCTTCAGGCCACTCTGCTCTGAAGATGGGGTGTAGGGTGAGGGACTGGGTTTGCTCCAGGAACCCACCGTTCACTGTGCTGAGGGCAAGCCCCCTCAGGCAGCAGCTGAGACGAGACCCCATTGGACACACCAGGCCCTGGGGCCAGGCAGCTGGAGCCTCCTCAGATATTTGTGGGAGAAGTCCAGGAGCCCTGAGGGCCCAAGGTGGTTGACAAGCCTGGGTGCAGATTCCACAACCCGCACAACTGTGGGCAACGTTTGTTTTGTTGGGTGGGGGGATATTAAGGATTGAACTCAACCAAATGGAAGACAACAGGGTGCCACTAGGTCCTCGGACTCACCAACCTGTGGTTCACCCCCCGACACACACCAGACTGTGGTTCACCCCACACACACACACACCAGGCCCCCCAATCCACAGCCTGGGACAGCCCTGAGCAACCTGTGAGCTGGGAGGAAGGACACTGTCTGATTCTCAGAAGGAACACTGTGGAGTAGAGCCCTCCTCGATGGGGCTGCCCAGCATATCCTGTCCCTCAGGGCAGGCCTAGTTCCTGGGCCTCCAGACTCCCTGGAGGTCACCGACAAAGGCCTTGAGGCACAGTCAGCGCAGTGGGTCTTGTGGCCTATCCCACTGCTTGGTGGAGGGTGGGGAGGCCTAACCACCTTCTCCCTTGCAGGAGACACAGGCAAACTGGGCCGCCTCTCCCACCACCTCTCTCCCCACATCCCACCCTGCCACACTGCTCCTGTATTGGTAAGTGGCCTCCTCCTCCCCGGAGCTGGGGGTGCACCTGAGGCTGAGACCCAAAGTAGAATGCACCTGTCTTGTGGGGTGGGAGATTCCCAGGGCGTCCTGAAGTCTCTGCTCAAACCCAGAAGGCAGACCCCCTTTTCTTGCCTTTGACCCCCTAAGCACCAAGACCCAGACTAAGAGGGACCCTTCACACTGGCCCTGGAACCAGATGCGTTGGCTGAGGCCACCGACAAGAGTGGGAGCACTCTAGTTTCCAGGGTGCCACAGAGCACCCCAGAGCCGGTCAGTGGCAGGGGCGTCGGCTCCTTGGACTTCACCGCCGATCCAGCAGGGGCCTTGGACCACAGCCTCGCCCACGTTCTGGGTGCTCCATAGCTGATCTGGCCTCCGGCAGCGCGGCAGATGGGAGTTCCAGGCCCCAGGACAGTACCCCTGCCTTGGCCTTGGGTAGTGCGGGCGGAGCGCTGAGTCCAGCCAGCCCCGCCCCGGCTTCGCCGCGCCGGGTGGGGTCAGTTTCCCAAAGAGCCGAAGCGCCGCCTATGCCGCGTGCCCCCCCCCCCCCGGAGCCGTGCGGGCCCTTTAAGGGCCGGGGGCGTGTAGCGGGCCCGCCCCCTCCCCGCCGCGCCCCGCAGCCCGTTAAAGGGGCCGAGCCCTCGGCGCCCGCCTAGCGCGAGCCGAAGCGGAGGGTACGGGACCTGGCCGCGGGCTGGCGGGTGGGGAGGCGAGGGCGTGCGTCCGAGCAACGCGCGGGGCGGCCCCTCCGCACCATGTACACCATCACTAAGGGGCCAAGCAAGCTGGTCGCACAGCGCCGCACAGGTGCGCAGGGGCGGGCAGCGGGAAGGGTCGGATTGGGGTCCGCGCGCCGGGACGGCCCCAGGTCCGGGCGCAGCAGCGGCTGACGCGCTCTCTCTGTTCCCGCAGGGCCCACGCAGCAGCAAGTAGAGAGCAGGCTTGGCGAGCTCCTGAAATGCCGACAGCCGGCGCCGCCCACTCCGTCGCCCCCGCGGGCGCAGCCACCAGGACCCTGGCCCCTGTCGAGGTAAGACGCGCACGACCCCGGCGGGAGCCTGGCTCTCCCCTCCCCCACCGATCGCCGTTAGGCCGGGAGGGTGACCTTGGGGAAAGGTTAGCAGAGACCGGGCCACATGCTCCGCGCGGGCAGGCGCCGAGGGGCGGGGCGCGCCGACCCCGCCCACGTCTTCCACGCCCTCGCGGGCAGTTCTAATCTCCGCACCTCCGCGCTTCCGCCTCACCTGGCACCTGGCTGGGTCGGAGGGGACTGGGCCTGATGTGCGTGGACACCCCCACTCCGGGCCCTGTAGGACCCCGGAGTAGGGAGAAAGCCTACCAACTCCATGGTTGAAGGGGTTCCAGGCATCTGAGTCAGATGTTCCTGCGACCTTGGGCTGAGAGACCAAGATTTGAGGCAAGCTGCTCAGGACATTCCTCCTAGGCAGGAGCAGGGTGGCCGAGGCCAATGATTTTCAAGGCCTCCTGTCTGTGGCCACGGCGGGCAGAGCGTTCTGGGGGAGAGGCGCGCGTGGTTCTCTCTGGCCCTGCCACACCACTGCCCTCCTCTGCCCTTCACCCCAGACACCCTGGCTGGGCGCTGGAGGCCGCCGCAGATGCTCAGGGTTCAATGGAGCCTGCACTTTTTCACCTTTTTCTGACTAGCATTTCGCTGGTGCCAAGAGCCTGAGGCCAGAAGAGGCTCAGTTTGGGACTCTTTGGCCTCTACACTACCCTGACATAGAGATCAGATCCCCACCCCATCCCAGGGCTGAAACTTTTACTTTTTTGACTTAAGCCCTTGCCTTGGCTTCAGGTAGTCTATACATTTTCTGGGTCCTGGGCTTTGGTGGAGGCCCACACAGGCTGAGGGTTCCTGGCCTAGGCTGTGGGTTGGGGCAGCCAACTCAGGGACCCTGGAGGCAGTGCTGGAGAGGGCCTGAGGAGGTGGGTGCTGGCAAGGGGGACTTCCAAGTTGAGGACAAACAGCCTCCGAGATCAACCATGAGATGGGGGTGGCTCAGCCTGCCTTTCCCCCTCAGTTACAGACCTCAAATGCCACAGGTTGGGGGCAGCCTGTGGGGACCCTTCTGGGCTGAGTTCCTTCCTAGGGGCCTCCTGCTGGGGACATGTTGACATTTTGGAGCTGGATCCCAATGATGAAAATGTTCTAGGCCAGCCACAGGTGCCCCCTGGGCAAGGAACGTGAGCCTTTGGGGCTGCTCCCTAGGGCCCAGGCTCTCTTGTGACACTACACTGCCTTGTCACCTGGGCCTTGGACTTCACAGCTGCCCTACCTCAGAAACAAGGCATAAGTGTGTAGTTTCCACTGGTCACCCAATCAGGGAGCTTGGGGCTGCTGTGGCCCAGGGTGCTCACTGCCTTCCTCTCCATGGACCTCCTGCTGGGGAAGGCAGGGTGTGCCTGTGGCAGGTTGGGGGATGCTGGGGAAGGACATGGGAAAGATAGTACAGAGCCCTTAAAATGCCCAGGAGGCCTCACCTCTGTCTTCAGCATGCCCTGAGGCAGCTGGGCAATTGTAGCCTGCCAAGTCTGTGTCAGTAGAGTGCTGACAAGCGGAGCCTGAGGGAGATGGGCTTGCCACAAAAGGTGACACTATGTCCTGCCGGGTGCAGAGGAGTGGAGAACAGGCAGCGCATGTACTGAACTGCTGACCTGGCTGCCCTTCCCCCTTCCCTGAGCTGTCACCAGTCCACGTGGCCTTGAAGGGCTCCCCCCACCCCACCCTTCCGTCACTGGGAGGCCAGCGCAGCCAGCTGTCCTCCACATGGAGGAGTCCCCACTCTTGCTCCTGCACCTTCTCAGGCCCACCCTCTAACCTGGCTTCGCCTCAGCTCCCTGCCCACCTTCCCTGCTGTTTCCTCTGTAGCACCTTTTCACCAACCCGCACCCCGACTTTCCCAGGAGAGTGGGGGTGCCTGGGCCACTGCTACATCCTGCAAGCCTGGTGCTCTGCACATGCTCACAGTCTCTGACCCGCTAAATGGACTGACGGGCTCGGATTATGGCCCGGCAGGGGTCTAGGTGCTGCCCATGGTGGTGAACAGGGCACATGGGTCTGTGCCTCTGACAAGCTCTCCCTCCCAGCCAGAGACAGACAGGAGAGAGAATAAGATCGATGTAGGCAATATCAACTGTTGGGGAGAAGATAAAAGGGGCCCATGTGACCACCAGACATACAAGGGCAGATAGACACATGGGTGAGTGGGGGAGGTGCTTGGGCGCTGTACTGAGCTGTGGGCTTTAGGGTAAGACAGATGTGCAGTTAAGTCCTGACATTGCTACCCACTCAGGGCGTGTGATCTTGGACAGGTCACTTCCCTCTTGAGCCCAGATTCCTGGGCTGGAAAACAGTGTGCGGTCTACTTTGGGGGAAGTGGAGGGAATTTAGTGAGACCATGCCCCTGTAGGCGCAGAGCAGGGACTCTGGTGCTGGGGGCTGAACTTGTCTGTGGGCAGTGTCCCTGGGGAGGCCACATGGTGGCCTTTGTCCACAGGAGTGCAAGCACATGGGAGCCTGAGCCCTTTCCCCCACTTGTGGAGTATCATTAGGTAACCACAGTAACTGCTGGCAGGGGCCAAGGAGTGGGTAGGTTGGAGGGGCAGGCAGGTACCAGCCACCACCTTCATCCCTGAGATTCACAGCTCTGGGCTCTAATTCCCTTCTTTTTTTTCCTTCTTCCATGTCCAGCCTGTAAACTTTCCTGGAGTTTGTCTATAGCCTTACAGGGTTGGGGGTAGAGGTGTGGCAGGTGATGGGCTGTCTGAGTCACACCTCTGGTTTATGAAGTTCAGACTGGAAGGAGCCCTGCCCCTCTAAATTTCCTGTGGCCCAGAGCTGGCAGGACTGGTGCCCCTCAAGACGCTCCTCTTTATTTTAGTGCCCCTCTTGGCCGAGGAGGAAGTCCAAGCGGCGGTGGGGAACCTGAGCCCAGGATTGCAAGCAGGCGAGTGCCTGGCGGAGTGGCACGTGCAGCCCAGGACTCCTGGCTCCCACCTCCTGCTGTAGGTGCGGCCCTGCTCCTTCCACGGCCCATCACTGCCCTGGGCCCGGCTGGCCGGCATGGGCCCAGCGGCCCTCTGGACACAGCATGCCTACCAGGCTGAGCTTCAGCACCCAGGGGCCATCACTCAGCATTCTCTCCCCTGTGGGCAAGAGTGTTGCCCTTCTCTGGGGCCTGTAAGGATGGGCCAGGGTTGCAGTCACACCCTCCCCACGCAGGGTGGCCCACCCCATACTGGAGCTATCCCTTGGGGCTCATCCCGTGGGTCTAGGAGCAGAGGCCACCAGGCTCTTGTTTGGGTTCTTCTTCTCACATTGTGGCATTGGCGAGATGGAGAAGCTTCTGTGGGGAGAAGATGGCCAAAAGCTGTGCCTAGAGGGTGGGGTTGGGACAGAGTGAACTGGTCATGGCTCCAGTCAGAACCTGGGCTGTTGGAGGCCTGGCCAGTCCAGGGGAGGTGGGAAGCAGGTGGCAGGGGGATGCCCGAGAGATCCTTGGAGGGGCGCCTGCTTGCCTTGAGCATGGAACCCTGCTGGGGACCTGGGATACAGAAAGCTGGGGGCCCTCCTGGTCTGCAGTCACAGGCGTGCCTCAGGGCTGGGGGCTGTGGGTGTGAACTGAGCTGCTGGAGGCGCAGGCCTGCGGGAGAGAAGCCTCGGCCACCTGCTGCAGCACGCAGCTGCCCTGTGGTGCAGGGCAGTGCTGAGGCTGGGCCTGGCCTGGGGGCGGTGGGTGTGGCCTGCAGCTGCTCCTAGAACTCTGCCAGGCTCCACTTGGGCTTGGGATGGTCACCAACCATCTCCTCCCCCTTCCTGCAGTCCGGGGCCAAGGCTCGTGTTCAACCGGGTGAATGGCCGGCGGCCCCCCACCACATCCCCATCCATCGAGGGGACCCAGGAGACTTATACACTGGCCCACGAGGAGAATGTCCGCTTTGTGTCCGAAGGTAGTGTGGAGGCCCAGGGGTCTTCTTCCCCACTGTAACCTGACTCAAAGCTGCCAGAGGGCTGGGCTCTCTGCCAGCCTGTCCTGTGACCATCGAGCAGGCTGTCTGCTCCCACTTCTGGGCTGGAGTCCAGCGTGGCCACCAGGCCCTGGGGGGAAGACAAGGTGCCAGGCTCAGTCTGACTTCCCTCTCCCTACAGCTTGGCAGCAAGTGGAGCAGCAGTTGGGTGGTGGCCCAGCCGGTGAGAGTGGTCCAAGGCCTGTGCAGTATGTGGAGAGGACTCCCAACCCACGGCTGCAGAGTGAGCTCCCCCCCTCCCCTCAGGGAGTCCCCTCCACACCCTTCCAAGCTGATCTGGGCCCTGCCAGGTTCTAGCCTCAGGGGTGCGGGAGGGGACTCCAACCTGGCCCATGTCTTCCCAGTTGCCTGTTACATTTGGGTTCTGGGTGAAGGGCTTGTGGTCAGCTTGAAGGGAGAGATGCTGACAGGTCTGGGAGGTGGCATCACTGCCCAGTCTTCTGCTCTGCCCACAGATTTTGTGCCCATTGACCTGGACGAGTGGTGGGCGCAACAGTTCCTGGCAAGAATCACTAACTGTTCCTAGCCGCTGCCTCAGAAGGAATGCTGCCTGCACAGGACCTGGCCATGCAGACCCTCTGCTAGGAGAGGACCATGGCGCCCTGTCCACCCATTGTGGCAGGCCATGCTTCACCCTGGGCCAAGCCGGACGCCGGCCACACCTGAAGTGCCAGCATTTGGACTTTTGCACCTGTTGACACCTTGGCTCAGCTGTTCCAGGATGCCAGGGGCCGGGGGCTGAAACTGTCTGACCTCATTCCTGCTCACTGTGCCCAGGGAACAGCCCCTGGGGCTGACAGGGCGGAGCTCCAGGCTAATAAAGTTGAAAAATTGCCTTTTCCGAGTGTTCTTTACTTTGTGCATAAGGGGTAGAGGTGTTCTCTCACACACGGGTGCCAGGCCCAGCCCAACCTCCCTTGTAGCCCTGTCTTTCCATGTTGCAGCTCAGGCCCTCGACCCCTTGCCCAGCTGCTCTCCTGTGTCCTGACAGAGGTGCTGGGGTCAGCTCATCTTCCTTGGAAGTCTGTGAACTGCATCCTGCCCTACCTGACACCCACTCCCCCTTTCTCTCCCTGTTGGAGTTGACAGGTGACTGAACCCTGCCAGGAGGCCCAAAGATGTTTCACAACCTGCCCTGGGATGGGGCCCCAGCCTCCCAGGATTGGGGCCAGGTCTCAGGATCCCTGGTCCTGTCTCCCAGGCCTGGCTGTGGGACGGTGGGTGAAGGTGCCTCATAGGTTTGAGGGGAGCCCTGGGGGGATGAGTGTAGGAGGCGGGGTTGCCAGGACCTGGGGCCCTGTGGGACACTGCTTAGCTTGTTGGGTGGGTGACCTCGCCTGCGGCTGATAGAGGATGAAGTGGAGTACCCCTGGTGTGCACGCTGGGCTGTCAGTGAGTGTGGACGGCCCCTACGGGTGCGTCTCATTGGCCACATACAGAGGGGCTTGTCAGGAATCCAATAGCTGGTCATGCTAGATCCCCCACAGGGTCCCCGTTTGTAGCGGGGGTGGTGAAGAGGCCTGGGGACGAAAGTTCCTGCCCCAGGGCGCGACCGCGGAGGACAGGCCGGAGCAGGAGCAGCTGGAGCAGGGTCTTGCGGCCCCCGTAAAAGGCTGCAGACCGTGAGCCAGGCGCCCCTGAGATGGGGGTGGGGTCCGCGGCTCCGCCCCCAAAGTCACGTGGCCCCGCCGCTGTGAAGGCGGAAGTGGTATGTTGCTAGGCGGCCGTTGCTAGGCCCGCGCTGCGTACCCTGCGTGAGGCGCGCGGCTGCTGAGGCGGGAAGTACGAGCGGCTGTGCCATGGCGCGAGGTAGGTTCCGGGCCGGCAGACCAGGGGCCAGAGCCCGGGGTTTAGGGGGCTCGCGGCCAGCGGGGTCCAGGGAGAGGGCGGGGTCCGGCGTCCGGCGCGCACTGAGCCTGCGGCCTGGCTCCGTCAGCGCCGAGTCGCAGGCCTGCGGGCGGGTTGATGTGGACCCTTGACCCGAGCCCAGTCCAATCCGCGCACCGGGATTGCTGTCACCACTGGATTGGAGAGCGGGCAGACCCAGTCCCAGACCCTCCCTAGAGGGTATCGATGCCCCACACTAGGTCCTCACTTCTCCATGTACCCCCAGTGTGGCAGCACCCATTCCTCAACGTCTTCAGACACTTCAAGGTGCACGAGTGGAAGCGGTCCACTAAGGAGGGGGACGTGGCCGCGGTGATGGTAAGTGGGCCAGGGGACCTGGCAGCAGGAGTGGGTAGCCCTCTTCTCTGCCTGGGACACTTGGCCTCACCACCCAAGGGTCACATTGGTGGTGCTCCCACGGTCCTTTGGGGACACCGACTCCCATCTTTTTCTCCAGGACAAGACCCTAAAGTGCACGGTGTATCGTATACGGGGCTCTGTCTCTGCCAGCAATTACATCCAGCTCCCCCAAACCAGCACCCAGTCCCTGGGGCTGACAGGACGATACCTGTATGTGCTTTTCCGACCCATGTCTACCAAGCACTTCGTCATCCACCTGGACTTGTCCACCGAGGTGCCGAGCTCGGGAGCGGGGGCTGTGCATGGGGGTCCTGCACCCCTGCTGCCCCCTCTTGTCTTCTCATGACCACCCTTTGGCCCCCCACCCCCGCAGGACAACCAGGTCATCCGAGTGTCGCTTTCCAACCTCTTCAAGGAGTTCAAGTCCACAGCCACTTGGCTTCAATTCCCCTTCATCTGTGAGGCCGGGACATCCAGGAAAGGTGTCACAGAGATGGGATAAGAATGGGACAGGGATGGTCCAGGAGAGACAGCCTGAGGGCAGAGAGGGAGGTGGGGCAGGCCCAGGGGCATGTCCAGTCAGGCTCCTAGGTGGGGGGCACATGGTTTTGGCTGTGGGGATGGGGGCAGGCCAAGGACAGAGGGTAGTGTGGGCTGGCTGGTGGTAGGGTGGGCTCTGACCTTGGATTGTCCCCTGCAGACCTGACAGGCATGGCTCCCCCTGGTGCCCGCTGGACCTGCCTGCAGCTGGACCTGCACGACATCATCTTGGTTTACCTGAACCGGCGCTACAGCCACCTCAAGAGCGTCCGGCTGTGTGCCAACCTGTTGGTCCGGAGCCTCTACACCAGTGACCTGTGCTTTGACCCAGGTGAGAGCTGTGCTTCACACCCTGTGCTTCGTCTACAGGCAGGCTGCCCCAACCCCATCCCTCCCCCAAGGTTCTCCACCCAGGAGGGGCCCTGGCACTGGATGAAGATGCCTGTGTCATGCCATTTTTGAGCCCCTAGTTCCCGAGACACTCAGGGTAGGTGGTGGCTGGGCAGGTGGCCTGGCGATACCTTGCAGGCATCAGGTGCTGAGTCTCACTTGGGCTGGGAGAGGGAGCTGGGCTTCCCTGGACCTGGAGCAACTCTGCTTTTTGTAGCTGTCACTGTCGCCAAGGCCCAGTGGGAGAAGCTGCCCGTCACCCCTATGCCTAGAGAAATGGCATTCCCAGTGCCAAAGGGGGAGAGCTGGCATGACCGCTACATCCATATCCGGTGAGCAGCTCTGCCTGTCCCAGGGAGGCTGGCGGGAGAGGGCAGGATTGGCCCAACACTGACTCTCCCTCTGCCCCTCTGAGGTTCCCAAGTGGCAGCTCAGCAGCCCCCTCTGAGCCAGTTCAGAGGAGCTATTTCCCTCCGGAGGCAGGTAGGCCTGTGGGGTGTGCAGAGCTCGCCGGGAAAGGGGGTCTTGCTCTGTGTCTGGGGTGGTACAGTATCTGCAGGGGCTGGGGCTAGCCTGGAGGTCACCCCAAGATTCCAGAGCCATTTGGGAGGCTGTGGATAAGGTGCCTGGTGGCCTCAAGCCCTCTATCTGGGAGGGGTGCTGGGGCCCGGGTACAATGGTGGTTATAACTGTTGGAGTCGCTTCTCTCACTGCTGCCCTGCCTAGTGCCTTTGGCAACATCCTCCTCAGGCCTCTGCATGCTTCTCAGTGGGTCCTGTGCTCTGTGCTCCCTTGCAGTCCTCCCGAGGCACGTGCCACAGCTTCTCCCTTGTCCGGCAGCCTCCAGCAAGTCCAGACAGGACAGCGTGTTCCCTGTGGTCCAGATGCTTGTCCCCACAGCAGTGAGTGCCTGTGCCCTCAGGGATGGGGCTCGGAGATGGTAGCCCCAGGGTCTCACAGACACTGTCCCCCCACAGTCCTGCCGGGCCCCCTCGGCGTCCGGACTCCTTCCAGAGAACGGCCTGTCCTGTGAGCGCTCAGAGGTCTCCAGTGTAGGCGGCTGCAGTGGCCGTAGTGAAGAAACCTCGGCCTGTGTGGAGTCCACTGACAAGCATGCTGCTGGCAGTGACCTTCAGGTGTCTGCCGTGGCCAGGAATGAGGTGAGTGCCCATCCCGAGGAAGGCAGGGGTAGACCGTGCTATGGAGGTGGGTGGGGCCTTGATGAGGTGTAAGTAGGGGGCTGCTGGGCCCTGCTCACCACGAGCCATGTGGGGGGCAGATGGGCCTCTGAGGCTCCCTTTTCATCCAGCCTCTTGGCAGAAAACAGAAAGCAGGAGGCGGCTTTGGGCAAGAATCCTTTTCAACAAAGAGTGAGGAGGGGCTGGTGCCTGGTCCTCAACTCCCAGCCCCGTGTCTGTGGGGGCCTCAGGTTGAAGGCAGGGGCAGTCCCTGGGGTCCTGGAGGGTCTGACACTCTGGCGAGAATCCTGGTTTCCTGCCACGGAGCAGCCAAGAGAAACCACACAGGACCCAGTGGCTTTTCGGGAGGCAGGAACTGGCCCAGTGAGGCAGCCCTCGTGGGATGGGGTCTCACCTCCTGTGGTCTCACATGAGTTTGCCTGTTTCAGAGCTCCCTGCCGGATCCTGTCTTGAGGCTCAAGGGGGTCATTGGCCTTGAGGGCCACAGCACCAAATGGGTGAGGGGTCCCATGCTCTTGTTGGGTTGGACGAGTGTCACGTACACTGCTGGGGTTGGGAGGACAGTGGGAAGGCTTTATATCCCCTGAGGTTGCTGCATGGACACCCAGCCTCGCCCACATCTGCACTGCGGCTCAGTGCTTCCTCAGTGACCCTCACTCTCAGGCCTCCTTTTGTTCTCGCAAGCGCTGGCTGGGTCAGTGCTGGTCTAAATGTTTGGGCTTCCAGAGACCCACGAGCTCTCACCCTGTAAAGCTTTGATGTAGCCATGTGGGTCTGGTGTGGGCACGACTTGTGGGTCCCTGTGGGGTGAGTTGGGGGGCAGTAGGAAAGGAGGCCCTGGGTTTGTCAGGCCCTCCTGGACGCAGGCTCCAAGTCTTTGTGGGCTCTCTAGTCTTTCATTGCCTGAACCCCAAAGTTTCTTATGTTGCAGACAGGGCTTAGAGGAGCTTTGCGTGTGCACGTGCATGTGCATATACGTTCTTGTGTCTGTGAGTTTTCTCTGTTCTTTTGGGGCGCGTATCCCATCGACTCCTGTGCACGTTACATGGGGTAGGGTGTGCCAGGGTGGGAGGGACGTGGTCAGCCTGTTCGTGATCTTAGTCTCCGCTCTCATGCTTAGGCTATCTGGACCAAGGATGGGGCCGCTGTCGTGTACCCCTGCCACGCGGTCATTGTGGTCCTGCGCATTGACACCCGGGAGCAGCGCTTCTTCCTCGGCCACACAGACAAGGTGGGCACCCCCGGGCCCAGGTGGGGCTCACTCCTGCAGGCCCCACAACTTCCCTCAACCTGCCGTCTCCCCAGGTCTCCGCCCTGGCACTGGACAGGAGCAGTTCTTTGCTAGCCTCAGCCCAGGCACGAGCTCCCAGCATGGTGCGCCTCTGGGACTTCCAGACTGAGGGCTGCCTGTCCCTGTTCCGGAGCCCTGTTCATACCATCTGCTCCCTCAGGTGGGTGAAGGGCCTCCGAGGTGGGTGGTGGCCAGCCCCGGCAACACTGACCGTCTGGTCCGCATCCACAGCTTCTCCGGCAGTGGGGTGCTGCTCTGTGGCATTGGCAAGGACCAGCACGGGAGGACGGTAAAGGGGCAGGTCGGGAGGCGGGGCAAAACCCAAACCACTTAAGAAGGCACCTTCTCCCACAGGCCCCCTGCTGGTCCCCTCCCCCCCGACCCCACCCCACACACTGCAGAGTGTCCTGTATTTTCCGCCCCTGTGGATGGAGTCAATGTTTAAATAACTCACTTCACTCTCTTTGGTGGCGGGTTCTGGAGTCAGGACAACTGGGTTTTATGTATGAAGTGTGTGGTGTCCACTTTGTGGCCTCCTCCCTACTTGTGGGTCAGTGTTTTCTGTTTGTTTCTGTGGACAAGTAAGCCTCACGTGTCTGCAGAAGCCAAGGTGAGGATGTGTAGGTCCTCCAGGCCATGGGGCCGCCCTCCCCACATGCTCACCAGCAGAGGGCTCAGGCTGGCTCCCCTAGGAGAGAAGAGCCTAGTGGAGGTCCGGCAGGTGCCGCGGGTGCTCAGCCCAGGCTCGTTGTAGATGGTGGTGGTGTGGGGCACGGACCAGGTGGGACGCGGTGGAGAGGCCGTCATTCTCGCGAAGGCGCACACTGATGTTGACATCCAGGCTTTCGAGGTTGCCTCCTTTGATGAGACCAGGTGACTGGGCCTCCCATCCACCTTTGGAGCTGGGATGGGGCCCTGGCAGCCCACGGATCTGGATGGGGCTGAGCTGTTGAGCCTGTCCCTCCACCCTGGCTCGGGGCCCTTGTCCACAGCAGCATCAGTCTCCTTATCGAGGTTGGACGGTGCTCACTCCCCCTCCTTGCAGGATGGTGTCGTGTGGGCGGGGCAGCGTGCGGCTGTGGCGGCTGCGAAGCGGGGGGCTTCGCTCCTGCCCTGTGGACCTGGGGGAGCACCACTCACTGGAGTTCATGGACCTGGCCTTTGGGCAGGCCCAGGACAGCCGTACACTGTGAGTCCCGCCTCCTCTCCTCACTGGCGGGGTCCTGCTCCACCTGCCCCTTCGGCCCTCATCTGTCGCCTCCCTGGCAGCTACGTGTGCAGCCGCAGTGGCCACATCCTGGAGATTGACTATCAGCACATGGCCGTTCAGCATGCGCGCCGCCTCCTGCCCACACAGACCCCCAGCAGCCCCCTCCCACAGAAGCAGACCTTCAGCTCAGGTAGGTGGCCTCCGCTGCATGGGGGTGGTGGGGTGGCCCTGCTGCCGCCGCTGATGCTGCCTGTCCCCCAGGTCCCGGCATCGCCATCAGCAGTCTCAGCATCTCCCAGACCATGTGTGCCGTGGGCTCTGAGGACGGCTATCTGCGCCTCTGGTCCCTGGACTTTTCCTCTGTGTTCCTGGAGGCAGGTGGGGCCAAGACAGCACCTTGCCACTGTGGCTGGGCCATCCCTGGGCTGGATGGCAGTCATGGGCTCTTAGCGGCTGTGTCCTGAGTCTGGGCATCCACCATTGCTGAGCCCAGGAGTGGGTGGCTGTGGGGGAGCTGCCTGTCCCTGTCCACAGGAGGATGGGACCCTGGGCAGCAAGGAAATGGGTTCGTGTCCTGGGGGGGCTGGGAGGGAGGTGCAGCCTGGATGCCGCCAGTCTGCCCTGGTGCCTGGCCCACCCTGATTCATGCCTGGGAGGTCACCCACCCACCCTGCCCACAGAGCACGAGGGCCCCATCAGCTCAGTCCGCCTCAGCCCTGACGGCCTGCGTGTGCTGTCCACCACCTCTTCGGGCCACCTGGGCTTCCTAGACATACCGTCCCGGGAGTACAATGTGCTGGTGCGCTCCCACACGGCCCTGGTGCTGGCCCTTGCCACCGAGTGCAGCCGGGGGCAGCTGGCCACTGTGTCCCGGGACCACACTGTCCGCATCTGGGACCTGGCGACCCTGCAGCAGGTAGGGTGTGGCCTGGATGGAGGGATTGGACCACAGGCCATGCTGAGGCCCGGGGGGTAGGGGAACCTGTGGCACCCTTGGTCCTTTAGCCTGTGGTGGGAGCCTGTGGGTTCAGGTCACCTGAAGAGACACTAGCTCTCAGGTTCTCCTGGTCAGCTGGCAGCCCCCACCCTACCTGCCCTCATGTGGCCCCATCCTCCAGCTCTACGACTTCACGTCGCCCAAGGAGGCCCCATGTGCAGTCGCCTTCCACCCCACGCAGCCAGCCTTCTTCTGTGGCTTTAGCAGTGGGGCTGTCCGCTCCTTCAGCTTGGAGGCCACCGAGGTCCTGGTGGAGCACAGGTGAATGCCCAGCTGGTCCCTGGCCCCACAGACGCTCACGGCGGAAGCTTGTGGGGTTCCCAGGGGTGTGTGGGTGGCTGGGTTGGGCAGGGGAGGGCAGTCTGCAGGAAGTGCCTGCCCTCTGCTACCCCTTGGGGACTTGGCTGGGCCCAGCTGGGGGAGGTCTGGGATGGTGCAGCTCAGGGTCAAGGCAGTGGGCGTCCTGTGTGGTGCAGGTGTCACCAAGGAGCCATCACCGGCCTGGTTGCCAGCCCCAATGGCAGCCTCCTGTTCAGCACCTGCTCTCAGGGCGCTCTGGCCCAGTACGACTGCACCGCCACCCACTGCCGAGTCCTGCATGTGACAGGTTAGGCCCCCATGCCTGGCCCCACCCCAGCCTCCCAACCTCCCCATCCTCAAGTTCCTGTGGGGGTGGGGTTTGCCTAGTGTCCACTGACAGCAGTAAACTGCCTTCTGTGGTCTCGTTACCTAGACCTCCAGGGCAAGTGTGGTTTTAGAACACACCAGCCCCTCAAAACTGAAGGTCAGTGAGGGTCTGTGCCTGCCCCACCCCAGGAGGAGACGAACAGCCTCAGCCCCAGGCCAGCAGAGGGTTGACCTACCAAAGGGCATCTGCCCCTCCCATGGCCACTGTAATTTGGGCCAGCCAGGTGGCCACTTGGGGGTCCCTCCTGGCTCTGGGAAACCCCAGCTATCCTGGCAGTCCCTGGGACCTTGGGTGTCTTAGTACTCTTGACACCCAGGCCCCTGGGCTGGTTCCCACAGTTGTGGGCAGGTTTGTGTCTGCTCTGGGCACACCCTCCCCACCCAGCCTAGCTGACCGCCTGCCCCCGTGATGCCGGCAGCTAACGTGGTGTGCCAGGATGCCCGCCCGAGTCCCAACGCCCTGGCGGTCAGTGGGGACAGCCGCCTGCTGGCCTTTGTGGGTCCCTCTAAGTACACAGTGACCATCATGGATGCAGCCTCACTGGATGATGTGAGTCAGCCAGAATCTTCTATGTGTCCAGTGTGGGTGGGGCTGCACCACTTTGGTCAGCAGACCCTATGGTACCCTGACTCACGGCCACATGGCTCCTCTGGGTTCTGCCAGGATGGGGGTAGGAGAGAGGCAGGGGTCTTTTTGGCCCAGCGTGGAGTGCGAGGGTGTCAAGGGGACAGGTGGGAGGCCACACTCCAGAGGGGACTCAGGTCCTGCCACCCTCACTCACAGGCACAGAGGACATGGACACCCAGTGAGGGTCGGGCAGGGAGGGGTGTGTGTGTGAGGGGAGAGGTGCCACAGGCTGCTTGCCTCCTGTGCCCTTGCTCTGGGGGACTGAGCTCTGCTCAGAGGTCATCGCCAGTGGCTACTTGCTGTTCTTCCCTAGCTGTTGCGGGTTGACGTCAGCACCCTGGACGTGGCCAGCAGCCGCCTCGACTCGGCTGTAGCCATCTGCTTCGGTCCCGCACCCCCTAGCCACCTGCTGGTGTCCATGTCATCCAAGGTTGTGGTGCTGGACTCCATATCAGGCCGCATAGTCCGGGAGGTGAGCCCAGGGCCTTGGCCAGTGGCTTGGCCACCCCTGCCCTCCAGGCTCCAACTTTGGTGCCCCCGTGCCTTGAGGGGGAGAGGTGCTGGGCTGCCTGTGGCTCCTGAGAGGTGCATTTTCTGAGAAGTGAGGTTTCCCTGGTCTAGGGGACCCATGTGCTCCGATCTCCCCGCCACAAGAATGCTCTCTTACAGCTGTCTGGTGCCCACCCCGTGGCCTCCCCCACCCTGGCTCTCAGCAGGGATGCCCGCTTTCTGCTGACAGCCACCGACCGGGCTATCAAGGTGTGGGACTACTCAACACAGGCCGGCCCAAGCTGCCAGGTGTGTGCCACAGGTGGGCACAGGTAGGCGGGTGGGAGGGAAGGCAGAGGACAACCCACCAGGCCTGCTGCCGTGTGCCTGGTCACCAGTCTGGCCAGTCCTGGGTACGGGAGGACTGTGGTGTCCCCTGCCAGGCTTCAGGAGTCTGTGTGTGTGACATGAGCTGCCCCCAGGTGTACATTGGCCACTCGGAGCCTGTGCAGGCTGTCGCCTTCACCCCCGACCAGCGGCAGCTCCTCAGCGTGGGTGATGCCATCTTCCTCTGGGACATCCTGGCCCTCCCTGAGAGATCGCCTCCAGAAAGGCAAGTGTCTGCCCTTGACCTGCGTCTGCCAGGCTGCCCGCTGCACCCTTCCCACCCGATACCTTCTCTCCTTGCCTCTGCAGTGACCGAGGCTCACCTGGAGCCCCCCAGATCTGTGAGGCTGGTAAGTGGTCCCACCACCAGGGCAGATCTCTGATGACATCTGTTGTTGGTACTATAGCCACTACAGGTGGCATGGCGCTGCTTCCTGTCCTGCGGGCCCCTGTGCAGAGCTGGGAAGGGGGGCTAGGCACACCTTCCCCTATGTGCTTTGCCCACCTCAGCCCCTGAGCACAGCCTGCCTTCCTCCATCCCAGGCCTGAATACAAGACAGCTGGAGGACTCGGTGTTGGGGGCCAATGGGCTCCCCCGGCAGCAGGTGCCCGTGCCTTCCCAGACACCCCTGCCCCAGCTGGGCATCTGTGCTGGGCCCTCTGAGCGTGGTGATGGTAAGGGCAGGGGTCCTGGGATTACCTGGGCAGTCATGTGTGTATAGCTCCTGTGCTTGAGTGCTGCTCAAGGCCTGTGGGGAGGGCCAGGGGTACAGGGGCCTCTGTGCCTCCTCTCACTGCCTCCCACACCCCCAGGTGCTTTCTCTGTGTCAGATGAAGAAGGACCTTCTGAGGAGAGCCGCAGCTCCGAGGGGTTCCGGCAGACCTCAGGCCCACCACCTGTGCTGGTGCAGAAGGAGTCCTGTGGGGCAGGAGATGGGGCCTGGGGGGCTGCAGGGGACTCTTGGGGCCTTGGCATGCTGCCCTATTCCCGTGACCAGCCCAGTAAGCAGGGTAAGGCGGGGACACTCACGACCGGGCCTGACCCAGGTGTAGGTACCCATAAGCCCTAGGTGGCCTAGGCGGCCCCGGCTGCCCCTGACAGATGGGGGTTCTTCCCGTGAGATGAGGCCCAGTCACAGGGCAGGTAGTTGAGCCTGAGGCCCTCGCTAGGCCAGGCAGGTGGGGGCTATGGCTCTCCTGCACCCTCTCACCCTGAGTGTCTTTACCGGGTTAGGTACTTTTCTTATCCAGCTGGGACCAGGTGACTGGGAGGAGGGGGTCTCTGCATGGTTGTGGATGGTTTGATGTCCTGTGGCCTCTTCCTCCTCCCTGCCAGGCACCTGGAGCACCAGGAGGGTCAGAGCCCAGCCTGCTGCCCGCCCAGACTCCTACAAGCACTTCACAGCGCGCTACAAGGCCTCCCTCATGGCCAAGGTTGGCCGGGGTGGGGTCCTCACATTCCCCGCCATAGGCAGACACCCTGGAGGCTCAGGGGTGGGGGTGGCCTGGCTCTGTGGTTTCTGGATGTTACTTCTCCCCACTACACGGGTTCTCCGTGATCTCCCTGTGTCTGCTCCCAAAGCTGACAGCGGTCTAGGCCTTGGTGGCAGCCACCCCGTGGGTACTCCTCCTCCCTTTGCCCCATGCTCTCACTGTCACGCTGACACTCAGACTGGACCTGGGCGGTGTCCTGCTGAGCCCACCATCTCTGCCCCATGGTCCTAGCTCCCTCTCACGTCCTCATGTTCCCTGTCCCTGAGAGCCCCCTGGGTCTTGCTGCCCCTGCCTGACCTCCTCACACTCCAGGGACCTCCTACATCTCCCACCCCTTCATCCCTGTCTACACCTGTCTCCCGTCCCTATGTGCAGGGTTTGGGGCCCACGCTCTGACATTTTGTCCTATCCTGGGAGCATGCCCTTCCCGAGGAGTCTCTGTCCCAGGCCCCAGTCTGATGGGGCACAGCCTAAGGTGGTGGGAGGTGGCCAGGTGCTGTGACATACACCAGTGTCCTAGGCCCACTTCCTCGTAGAATGTCTCCTTCTCCCCTGCTGGGGGTGAACTGCTGCGCCTGAAGGCTGTCGTAGGCTACAACGGGAACGGGCGTGCCAACGTGATCTGGAGGCCGGACACTGGTACGGGCCACAGCCCAGCTAGGCTCCCAGCCCAGAATGTGCAGGGTGGGGCCCAGCTCTGTCCCCCAACCAGGCCAGGCCCCAGGAGGGCAAGTGAGTGCCGGCACGGAGGGTGGTTTGGGCTGAGAGGCAGTGTTTCTCCTGTCATACCTGTGCTCCAGCCATTTTCCCTGCGTCTCGGTACAGTTTCCCAGGAGGGCTCATCAGGACCCCCTTGGCCATTGTAACTGACGGGGAGGGTGACAGGGCCGCACTTGACTGGCTCCAGGGTGCCCTCCCTACCCACAGGCTTCTTCGCCTACACGTGCGGCCGCCTGGTGGTGGTGGAGGACCTGCACTCCGGCGCCCAGCAGCACTGGCTCGGCCACCCTGAGGAGATCTCCACTCTGGCCCTCAGCCATGATGCCCAGGTGCCCATCCTGCACCTGGGGCCGTGGCACGTGGCACAGTCTGGCTCCTCGGGGACCTCCAGAGCAGCAGGGGGGACGCTGTTCCAGCCTCCCCTCTACCCAGAGCCAGGCTGGGCCCCTGGACCGCCCCCGCCCCACTGACCTTCCCCCTGCCCGCCAGGTCCTGGCCTCTGCCTCAGGCTGCAGTGGTGCCACCTCCTGCTGCCAGATCCGAGTCTGGGATGTGCCTGGGGGCTCCTGCCAGCAGCTCCTTTCTTACCACTGCACTGCTGTGCAAGCCCTGGCTTTCTCACTGGATGACAGGCTTCTTGTCACACTGGGTCAGCTGGGTTGGGAGGGCGGGGGGGCAGTGGCCTCGGGACCCCCCCTGCCTGTCCTGGGACCCCTGGGTAGCTGACATGACCTCCATGCATATCCCCAGGGGACTATGGGGACTGCACCCTGGCCCTGTGGAGCACAGCCACCTATGAGCTTGTGTCGTCCACTCACCTCCTGGAGCCGGTGCACGGCGTGGCCTTCAGCCCTTGGGACACTGGTGAGCTTGCCTGTGTGGGCCAGGGCGCCCTCACTTTGTGGCTCATGCAGCAGCGCGGGGCCGACGTCAGCCTCCAGGTGCCAGGGTTCAGAGGTGGTTTGGAGGATGGGGTTTGGCTGGGCCCTGAGGCATCGCTGACCCACACTGCCCTCCAGGTGCACCACCGAGACCCCATTCCCGAGGCAGTGGGGGCGGGCGAGCTGACCTCATTGTGCTACGGGGTCGAGCCCCTGCTGTACTGCGGCTCCAACGCTGGCCAGGTCTGTGTCTGGGACACGCACGCCGGCCGCTGCTTCCTGACCTGGGAGGCGGACGACGGTGAGATCGGTAGGTGCGTGAGGAGCCCCTGCAGCCCCCCTCAGCTCAGCGAGGCGCTCGGCCGGCCTATCTGTGGGAGACCCAGTGATGGGGCAGTAGGACCCTGTCTCAATAGTGGGCATCTGGGGAGGTGACTTACGTTACCTCTGGCCTCCTAGGAGTGCTGCTGTGCTCGGGCTCGCGGCTGGTCAGTGGCAGCAACACCAGGCGGCTGCGCCTGTGGGCCGTGGGAGCCGTGCCAGAGCTGAGGCGCAAGGGCTCGGGTGCCAGGTGAGTCAAGCCAGTGTCCTTAACTGGGGCTGCAGGCCAGCTATCCGTTGCCAACTGGACCTGCCCTCCATGGGGAAATGTTTGAGTGAGGACAGGGCTGAAGGACAGGGACGCACCCAGAAGCACTGGGCTCCCTAGGCTGTTGTCGTTGCCACCCTTGTGACCCACTGCTCCCCGCCAGGTCTAGCTCTGTGTTCATGGAGCGAGAGTTGACCCTGGACGGGGCCATCGTGAGTGCTGTCTTCCACGACAGCATGGACATGGGCGTGGTGGGCACCACAGCGGGCACACTCTGGTATGTCAGCTGGGCCGAGGGCACCAGCACCCGCCTCATCAGCGGCCATAGGAGCAAGGTGAGGTCGCCAGGCCACCTGCTTGCTGTCAAGGACATCTGAGGGGGTTTCTACCCCAGACAGAGGCAAGCCCATGAGCCCCATATTCTCGCCCCTCTATCTGTGTTCCTTCCCTGTTGTTCCGAGTCCAAGCCCAGCTGTTGGATCGGTTCCCACGTAAACATTTCAGGTTCTCAGGATAAGGACTCCACACACCTAGAACTGCTCACCCATTCTGTGTGGACCAGGTTTCTGAGTGTCGGGTTGGTTCCGCCAACGGCCAATGAATTTACCTCTTGAGTTTTTAAGAGCTGATGAGTGGACATGTGGGCCAGGCGCGCCCCCGAGGTCACTTATAGAGCCCTGGCTTTGGCCAGTAGTAGGTTCGTCAAGTTGGTTACTGAGTCCTTTTTTTTCTTAATCTATATATATTTGTTCAGAGATAATGGTAACCATCAAAGAAATTAAGTTTGAGAGGAGTGAGGGTTATATATTTTTCCTGTTTTTTGGTAACAACTTTATGTTGAGATGTAATTTACGTGTCAAATGCTTCAGCCATTTAAAGTCAGTGGTTCCCAGTATATTCACAGATTTATACAACCATCACCACAGTCCATTTTAGAGCATTTTCATCACCCTAAAAGGAAACCCCATATCCATGAAGCACTCACACCCACCCCCATTCCCTGACAACCACGAACGACTCTGGATTGGCCTGTTCTGGATTTGCTGGGATCACACACTGTGTGACCTCTGTGTCTGGCTTCCCACTGAAGCATCGTGTTCTCAGGGTTCATCCGTGGTGTAGTGTCAGTGCTTCACTCTTTCTTACCAGATACTATTCCATGATACAGACAGAGTATCATGAGCCCTTGACCCAAACTGGTGGCCCCTGGTGATTTCCCTCTTATGTAGAATGACAAGATGTCCAGGCCCTCCCTCTGCAGCTGCCCCCAGGACCCGACTTGGCTGTTTCTTTCCCGAGGGGCCCATCGCTTCTCAGCTGGACAGAGCTAAATTATTATTTTTTAAGATAAAATACATGATGAATTCATACTTACACTTGAAATTCAAATGCAGGACTAGGCCGTCTCATTTCACCTCATTGATGTATGGTGCCATAATCCCTGTTTTCCCACACCAAAACTCTTGATTTTCAGTAATCACACACCTTTTTCCCTGAATGCACACATGACAATCTCAGGAAAAGCCACACCACCAGCAGCAGTGCTGAGGCCCCTGGAACGGCCCGGAGTGTGTCTGGTGCTTCCCTTACCTTCAGTCTGCAGTCCTCTAAGGGACATGTTGTCCCATCACCACATTTTATGTTCTTCCTTTTTTTTTTTTTTTTAAAGCTGAGCCATCCTGCCGCCTGTTGGCAGCTCAGCGGCTGCTCAGCTCGGGCTGGGCATCGAACTGCTGTTGCTCAGACCTCAAACTCTTGAGCGAGCTCTTAACCAACTGAGCCACTCGGCCGGCTCTATGTTCTTCTTTTTGTGTCCCAGCAATGGCCAATGGGCTGCTTAGGATTCCGAGTCCACCCAGGTCTCATGTGGGGCACTTGGGAGGGAAGTCAGGATAGTTCCTTTACTCACTGTGAAGGTGGCCATGGCCAGGCGGGCTGGGAAGGAGACACATGTTCTTGTAGGAACAACCTGGCTCTGCTGTGTCCCCTCTCCGCCCGAGGGCCACGTGGCCTCAGGGAGGGCTGGCTGGCTACCTGCAGGTGAACGAGGTGGTCTTCAGCCCCAGGGGGTCCCACTGCGCCACCTGTGGAGATGACGGGAGTGTGAGGGTGTGGTCCTTAGCCAGCATGGAGCTGGTGATCCAGTTCCAGGTGCTCAACCAGGTATTCAGGGCGCCCGGGGCTGGGGGTGCCTGCTCGCGGTGGGGCCCTGCCTGTCCGCTGAAGGGCTCTGGCAGCTGCGTCCCCCCTCCAGCCTCAGTGTCTGTCCTCTGCTTTGGGACTGGGCCCCTGTCCTGTTCCCCAGGGGAGTACTGATGTTTCCTTACTGGGGGTCCCCAGAGTTGCCTCTGCCTGGCTTGGAGCCCCCCTTCTTGTACACGCCCAGAGCAGCAGCACGTGGCAGCGGGTTACAGTGATGGCACACTGCGTGTCTTCAGTATCTCCCAAACTGCCATGGAGCTCAAGATGCATCCCCACGCAGCCGCACTGACGGCTATCGTCTTCTCTTCTGACGGTGAGGGCCTGGTAGTTCACAGGGTGATGGCAGGGCCCCTGCCTGCCTGTTCCAGGTTACACCTTTGGGCTGGGGGTGGGGGCTCACAGGGTAATAGAGTGGCCTCTGCCTGGCCCAGGTCAAACCATCCTCTCTGGAGACAAGGATGGGCTTGTGGCTGTGAGCCGCCCCCGCACAGGTATGACCTTTCGAGTGCTGAGTGACCACCGGGGTGCCCCGATTTCCACCATCCAGAGCACCAGGAAAGAGGTGAAGTAGCCCATCTGGGGGGTGCTGGCAGGGAAGGGGGATCAGGCAAAGTGGGGCAGGAAGTACCCACCTGCCTTTACCCCCCCTAGTATGGAGATTTCGGAATGCAGGGCACAGACTTGTGGTTGGCCGCCAGTGGGGACCAGCGGGTCAGCGTCTGGGCCTCCGACTGGTTGCGGGACCGCTGTGAGCTCGTGGACTGGCTGAGCTTCCCGGCGCCCACGCTCATGGAGGTGAGGGTCCTGGTGGCACCTTGGGCAGGGGGAGTACCTGCCCACCTTGCTACAGCGTGCTGTACCCCTCCTCAGGCTCCAGGCTGCCTGCCGCCGTCCCTCGCTGCCTTCTGCCCCTGGGATAAGGCACTGCTGGTGTGTGCTGGCCTTGGCCCACATCTGGAGGTGGTCTTCTACAGCCTCCGGCAGAAGCAGGCATGCGCATGCCCCCTGTGGTACTGGGAAGGGGGGTCTTGGGGGCCATGGGAACCCCCGCCCAGTGCCTCACATTTGCTGCCCACAGGTGGTGGACAAGATCCCTCTGCCTTTCTTTGCCGTGTCCCTCAGCTTGTCCCCCGGGGCCCGCCTCCTGGCTATAGGCTTCGCTGGTGAGTGCTGGTGGGCGTGGACTCTGGCCTGTTTTGAGTGGGGCTGAGTGCACTCACCTGTGTACCCGCACTGAGATATACCTCTCACCTCTGCACCCTGGGCTCCTCTTTGAAGTGGGGTGAGGATACCTACCCCACAGGGGTTGTAGGGTCAGGAGATGAGTATGGGGTGCCAAGTGCTGCACTCGGCACCAGGGCCTGAACGGAAACTCAGCGGCCCAGCTTGGGGCCATTGCAAGCTCCATGTTGTGAGATGCCCCAACACCGATGGGCCCCCCGTTGGCTCTGCTGTCCAGTCCCAGCAACAGGCTGCCCTGGGTGTGGAGGAGGACACAGGCCATTCAGCACAGATCCCTATGTGGTCCTGGCGCCCAGCTGGAGACAGAGTCAGGGTGGGTTGGGGGACGCCTGGGCCCTGGAGCTGTAGGCACAAGCTCAGGGTCCACCCCGTGCCATCTGTCTGCAGAACATGTGCTGAGGTTGGTGGATTGTGCGTCAGGGGCTGCACAGGACTTCGCTGGCCACGACGACTGCGTGCAGGTCTGCAGGTTCTCCCCGGCTGCCAGCTTGCTCTTCACAGCGGCCCACAACGAGATCTTGGTGTGGGAAGTCACGGGCTATTGAGTTGAAGTGGGGACCTTGGGGTCAGGTGTGCCCTGCTGGTAATGCTGGATGCCTGGCCTGGGCAGCGCCTCTGCTGAGAAGCCCTGTTAGTGAAGAACCTCTTGCTGGACCAGGATGGCTGGGCAGGCTCAGCAGCTCCACACTGGACAGGCCCAGGACTGTGTGTGTAAATCATCAAGACCCTGAATATGTGTGAAGTGCTTGTTGGCTCTTTGCCAGTGCTTTTTTATGTTTCTACCTGTACAGTTGAAATAAACGTAGGCCTTGCATTGTATTGCGGCATTGTCGGCTGGTCACTCCAGGCTCCTACTGCCTTGGGCCTGGCTCTCCCGCCTGGCCTAAGCTAAGCCTCTGTCCAAACCCCAGACCGCCCTGGCCTGTCCACTTGCAAGGGCTCCCCTGCCGGTCGGCGCGGCGCCTGCAGTGCCTGGCGAGCTCACTCGGCGGCGCCGCTTCGCAGCCGGCCGCTCTGGCCCGCCCGGCTCCCTAGTGCGCCTGCGCGGCGGGGGCCGGAAGTGCCGGTTCTGGGCGAGCGTGGGCAAGAGGACCCGACGCGGGCTGGGGTCAGGGCCGGGGCTGGGGTCGGGGCTGCTGCTGGGCTCTGAGCGGGTGTGCGCCGGAGTCGGGCTGTAGCTCCTGGCAGCCGCCATGAAGAGGGACGTGCGCATTCTGCTGCTGGGCGAGGGTAGGCACCCAGGCCGAGGGCGGGGGTCGGGGCCGGGGCCGGTCTTGTCCGGAACGGGGGCGCCGCGACCTTGGCTGCCGTGCTGACCGTGTTTCCCTGCGCAGCCCAGGTGGGGAAGACGTCGCTGATCTTGTCGCTGGTGGGCGAGGAATTCCCCGAGGAGGTGAGAGCCGTAGTGCTGAGCGCCACCCCCCGGTGGTTGCTCATAGGTGGGGACTGAGACCCCAGGGCGGATCTCCTATTACCGGGCCTCCCTTATGGCTGGTTTGCTCTAGGTCCCGCCCCGGGCAGAAGAGATCACCATTCCTGCAGACGTCACCCCAGAGAAGGTACCCACCCACATCGTGGATTCCTCAGGTAGAGCCGCCCGCCCCACCCCATCCCACCCCAGGGTGCTGCCCAGGTGCTGTTTCCAGGTAGGTGTGCAGTGTGATTTCTCTTTTTGTCCAGAAGCTGAGCAGACGGTGGAGGAGCTCCAAGACGAAATTCACAAGGTACATTGTGTCCTGAGGGCTCAGAAAGGATGCCAGGCCTGGGGGCTCAGTGCTCAGGCCCTGGGGGCCGGCTGCTGCCTAGGCCTGATCGGCTTTTCTGTCTGAGGGACTGGATTAAGATGCTCAGGGAGTTTGTCGCCTCGCTAATTCCTCCGTGACCTCTTAGCACTCAGTTGTTGGGGTTCCTGTGACACATCCTGCTGGGAGCAGGGGAGAAAGGGACCATCCTTCCCTTCTACCCACTTGGCTGGTCAGCCCCATGGCACTCCACACCCAGCATTCACTCTTCCAATCAATATCGGGGGACAGACCTCACTATCCTTCAAAATGACCCCTTAAACAGCTCTGTGCCCTACCCCCACCCCACCCCACCCCCGTAGGGTGATCCACCACCCCAGGCCTTTGGGCCGAGGTGGGTGCCATGACCAGGGCTGCAGGCTACACAGCCCTCTGTTCACCTGTTATCAGGAGAATGTGTGCCCGAGCCAAGCTCTTGGAGGGAAGCCGTACCTGCAGCTTTGTCCTGTTTCCCTACATCTTCTATGTCCTGGGGGCGCCACTGGGCAAGGGTACAACTACTCAGGGGCAGCCTTCTTATTATCACCACCTCTTATGCTGTTGCCGTCATCATCTTCTCTGACCACAGTGATACAGGAGTAAAATGCCATGGCCAGGGCTGCGGTGTCAAGTTTTGGGGGTGGCTGTGTTTTTCCTGAGCCCTTCAGGGGACTAACCAGAGTTGCAGTACTGGGGCCTAGAAGTGAGCATGGAAGGGCTCTCTTGAGGTTTGAGCAGCTGACCACCAGTCCCAGTGACATGGCTGGCCATAGAGCATTGGCTGAGGGGTACCGGGGAAGGATGGCTTCCTGGGTCTCTGAGCCATGTCCTGTCCTGCCCGTGAGTGCCAGGGTGGCGTGGACAGAAAGCCCCAGGTGATGCTGTGCCACACTGTGTCCCTCACAGGCAAATGTGGTGTGTGTGGTGTATGACGTGTCTGAGGAGGCCACCATCGAGAAGGTAAGGGACGTCCTCATTCATCCCAGGTCCCTGCCTCTGGGGCCCAGCCTGATCCATCAGCCCATCCTCTGCATGGACACTCAGCTTATGCAGCGCTGGGGTGATTCACCTGTGACCGGCCCCATCTCTAACGAATGCTTCAGAGCGCCTCCCGGAGCCACCTTGGGTGCTGGGGGCCTGTGACCAGGACCCCACAGCTTCCTCAGAGAGCCCTATGTGACCCTGTTGTCTCCCCACAGAGAGTGTAGATGGGCACAGGTGTGAACCACTTAGTCTTCCAAAGAGTTTGCTCTGGGCTACTCAACCCAGGCTTCTTGGGGGTGTTTGGGAACTGTTAGGATCAGATGAGGTTGCACTTGTCAGCGGCCCTCTCCCACTGGGCTTGTTCCCGGTGGCTGTGACTGGCCCTTGGAACCTTGACTTCCCCCCATCTCTGTCAGGCTAAACTTGAGTTTCAGGTGGAAGCCATGGGCTGGATGGCCCCCTCACCCCTCATTGGGTCTTGCCTTTCAGATCCGAACCAAATGGATCCCACTGGTGAATGGAGGGACCGAGAGAGGGCCCAGGTAATGGGCGGGGCCCGGGGTAGGGGGCTCTGGTCTCCACCAGCTCCCCCATCTTTAGTGACCGTGGGCCTCTCTCCAGGGTCCCCATCATCCTTGTGGGCAACAAGTCGGACTTGCGACCAGGGAGCTCCATGGAGGCTGTACTGCCCATCATGAGCCAGTTCCCTGAGATTGAGACCTGTGTAGAGGTGAGCTGGCAGGCAGGGGGCACTGGGGTGAAGAGGAAGGGCAGGGGCCAGGCCCTGCAGCAGGCTGTCATGTGCTGGTGGGCTGGGACCTCAGCACAGGTGAGCTGTCATGTTGAAGGCAGATGGGGCCCACTTTCTTGGGTGGGGGCTGCTGACCACCTGTGCCTGCATCTTTGTCGGAGCTCCTTTGAGGCTCCTGGCATCAGGTACCTCTCTGAGTCTGTCCTGGTGGCTCCCAGTGCTCAGCCAAGAACCTGAGGAACATCTCAGAGCTGTTCTACTACGCACAGAAGGCCGTGCTACACCCCACGGCCCCGCTGTATGACCCTGAGACCAAGCAGGTGGGCAGTGGGCACGGGTTGGGGTGGCCAGCCGCTGGGAGTTGTGGGGGGGCATCACGCTGAGCTGTCTGTCCCCACAGCTGAGGCCCGCATGCTCCCAGGCCCTCACGCGAATCTTCAGGCTCTCAGACCAGGATTTGGACCAGGCGCTCAGTGACGAGGAGCTCAATGCTTTCCAGGTGGGTCCCCTGTCCATCTCCTGGTGGTGCCCATTCCTCTCGGACTACAGCCGGGTCCACGCCTCAGCTGCCATTAATGATCAGGGGGAAGGAACAGTCGCTGGGGTGGCTAACTGACTAACCGCAACTTTCTTTCGGAGGCAGAAATCCTGTTTTGGGCACCCCCTGGCCGCGCAGGCCCTGGACGATGTGAAGATGGTGGTGCGCAAAAACGTGGCAGGAGGCGTGCAGGACGACCGGCTAACCCTGGATGGTGAGGCCTGGCACCCTGCCTTTCCCCCGGGGTGGTGAGGTGGCTGGGCAATACCCAGTACCACCTCTTCTGCCCCTTCCTGAACAGGCTTCCTCTTCCTGAACACACTCTTCATCCAGCGTGGCCGCCACGAGACCACATGGACCATCCTGCGACGCTTCGGCTATGGCGACACGCTCGAGCTGTCCACTGACTATCTCTTCCCTCCGTGAGTAGTGGGTGGCACTCTCAGTGTCAGATGGGGCCGGGAACCCTTGCCCAGGTAGAGTGCTGCTAGGATGGCCTGTGTTGGAGGTGCCCTGCTGCTCTGCCATGGTGCTCGGCCAAGGGAGGAGGTGGAGCAGGAACCCCCCAGCTTCAGCCCGACCGCACAGACGGGTGGTGTGCTGAGCATGGTGGGAATCCAACGGCCCCACAACCTTACAGGCTCCACGTGCCCCCCGGCTGCAGCACGGAGCTCAACCACTTCGGTTACCAGTTTATACAGAAGATATTTGAGAAACACGACCAGGTGAGGATGCTGTGACCCTGCTGTGCTGCCTGTGCTGCCTGCCTGTCATGGCCTCCCAGCCAGTGTCACCACAGCCCCTCTGCCTGTAGGACCATGATGGCGCCCTCTCGCCGACAGAGCTGCAGGGCCTGTTCAGCGTCTTCCCAGCCGCCCCCTGGGGCCCCCAGCTCCTGTATACGGTCCCCACTGAAGCAGGCCGGCTGTCCCTGCACGGGTACCTCTGCCAGTGGACGTAAGCACAGCCCCTGCCTGCCCCCACCTGCCAGATACCACTGCCCTTCCATGATGCTGCTCCTCCCCCCTTCTGCCCCAGCCTGGTGACCTACCTGGACGTCCAGCGCTGTCTTGAACACCTTGGCTACCTGGGCTACCCCATCCTCTGCAAGCAGGACTCCCAGGCCCACGCCATCACAGGTGGGCCCCTGCCCTCACGCTGGCCTGGCTGAGCCCCTCCCTGGCAGCCCCTCACTCTCACTTGTCCTTGCCATCTGCCCACAGTCACCCGTGAGAAGACGCTGGACCAAGAGAAGGGACAGACGCAAAGGAACGTTCTTTTGTGCAAAGTGGTGGGGGCCCGAGGAGTGGGCAAGTCTTCCTTCCTGCAGGCCTGCCTTGGTCGTGGCCTGGGGGTGAGTGTTATGTGCTGGATAAGGAGACCCAGCTTCCACCCGGGACTCCCAGAGGGTAGGGGCTCTGGGGAGCATCAAGGCCCTCAAGCCTCAGGCACCTCCCTCTTCAGCATCAGGACACCAGGGAGCCCTGCCAGGAGCCTGCTGTCTACACCATCAACACGGTGCAGGTCAACGGGCAAGAGAAGTACCTCATAGTGAGTGCTGGGGGTTGGGGGGTCCCCGCAGTAGACCCCAGGTGCATGCTAGGCGGTGCTGTCCCAGTGCAGCCTGGGGGACTGAGCCCCTTGCCCTGCCCCGCCCCTGAGGCCACCCTCTGTCCAGCTATGTGAGGTGGATGCAGACAGCCTACTGGCCACTGCGCCCGACGCCGCCTGTGACGTCACCTGTGACGTCGCCTGCTTGATGTTTGATGGCAGTGACCCCCGGTCCTTTGCATTCTGCGCCAGCATCTACAAGGCAAGCCCCCACCTGCCCCGGGGTCCTGTGGGCAGCACGGCCATGGGTGAGGGTCCCCCAGCACCTTCCCTTTGTCCACCCCCAGACTGTGCCCTCACACAGCTCCTCCCCCCTCAGCGCCATTACATGGACGGGCAGACCCCCTGCCTCTTCGTCTCCTCCAAGGCTGACCTGCCCGAAGGTGTTGCACTACCTGGCCTGTCCCCAGCTGAGTTCTGCCGTAGGCACCGGCTGCCTGCCCCCACCCCATTCTCCTGCGCCGGCCCAACAGAGCCCAGCACAGCTGTCTTCACCCGACTTGCCACCATGGCCACCTTCCCGTGGGTACCAGCACCACAGCCCCTGTGGTGGGAGGCTTGTCCCCATCCCAGGGTACCAACAGTCCCTGTCACCAAGACAGGGGGACAGCTGTGGTGTCAGGTGCCTCGTTCTGGTGCTGAGGCCCTGGCGGGGCCCTCCAGGGCCTGGTCTCCCCGCAGCTGTGCTGGACACTGACAGGGAGCAGCCCTGTGGAGTTCCATGATTTTCCAGGCGACGGGTGGAGAGTGGGGGGGTATAGCAACAAGCGTCTGGGCAGTACCCTGAGGGTGTCTCCAGCCAGCTCCTCTCTCCTGCAGACACCTGGTCCATGGGGAGCTGAACACCTCCTCCTTCTGGCTCCGGGTGACACTGGGGGCTGTTGGGGCCGCTGTTGCTGCTGTCCTCAGCTTCTCGCTCTACAGGGTCCTGGTGAAGAGCCGATGAGGCCCCGGGGCCCTGCAGTCTGATCTCAGGGCCTCAGGGTGCCAGTGTGGGGCCACCTGCTTAGTGGGGCTTCCACCTGTCTAAACTTCGCTTCTGAGGACAGCCTGCCCACTGCCCAGCCCTGGGGGTGGGTCCCCAGGTCCCACCCCACCCCCATGTCCTGCCCAGCATCACCCACTTGTGGCCATCATGTTGGAGGGACCGTGGGGCATGGGTGAGGAAGCCAGTGACCCCAGACCTGAACTCTCAGGGCTCCACCCCTTCCTGGTCCCAGGCAGCCAGTGGATACAAAGGGAATCGGAGGACAGAGCCTTGGGCCAAAATATGGGGGTGGGGGCAGGAAGTGGCTGGACCATTGTGTACCCTCTCCTCATTAGGAGACTGGGCCAGGCCTGCACCTCTCATGGAGACATGACGTGGGGCTTCCTGATTAAACTTCAGTGTCTTTTTCATCTCAGACCCTACTTTCTGAAGATGGCTTTTCTTGAATTATGTCATTTGTCTTGGTGTGGGCTGGAAACTTCACTCCTGATTCCCACGCCTCCCCTCAAGGCCTGTGCCTCACTCAGGCCATTGTGAGGTCCAGTTAGGTTCCCAGCGGCCTGGGAACCATTGCATTGAGGTCCATGCTTTGCTGAGGGGGCCTGATGCTCGAGGTCTTCCAGATGCCTGCCTCCTCCCCAAATCTCAGCGTCCATCCTGTCAGCTGGGCTGATCTGTGGGAACAGTCTGGAATTCTGAGATGGGACTGGGGTGTGTCGAAATGCGCTATTTCTGGTGAGCAAGGTGGCCCCTGGTGTGGGGGCACTTCCCTGTTCACAACCAGACCAGAGGTCTCTGTCACTTCCAGTGGGCAAGGGAAAGCCAGAGGCCCCAGTCTGAGGGAAGGGAGACTGAAAACCCTTCTTGGTGAGGAGTGGAGCGCGACTTGGGGTTAAGCTTCAACACCTGTCCCGGATGCTTACTTGGCATGTGTCCCGGGCCTGGAGCAAAACAGCCCATAGCGAGGCTGGGTGGCAGACCCTGGCCACTCACACTGATGCCCTCCTGCCATCTGTCGTTCTGTGCATGGCAGCCCTTCTCAGGTCAGGGCCCCTCCCGGAGCCCTGACTTGCTATTCCTAGGAGGTAGGGAGAGCTGCCTACCTTTGCAGGGATGCTCAGGCCTGACCCAGAAGGGTCTGGCCAGACTCCTGAAGTTGTACCTCCACTATCCCAGCCAGCATCCCAGCCCCACTGGCCCACTGCTGCGGTGTGGTTCTCACCTGCTGGGCAGGGCAGGATGCTATTTCCATCCTCTATCCTCCTGGGGCTTGGCTGCCAGTATTGATGGCATCAGGGTTCTGAGTGGCCCTTGGAGGGGTTGCTATGGTAACAGATCCTTAGTCTATCATCTCGGTGGAGGGGTCTACCTGCCCTCCCCAGGAGATGGGGCCCCTTATCCCAGCTGCAGCCTTGTCCATTGGGGTCTCTGCCTTGATGTCCATGGGTCTGCTTGGGCCCCCCTAGTGCCCCCTTGGGGCTGGAGGCCCCACTGCGACTGTCCAGCATTGTGGCTGCAGGAGCGGTGGGGTATGTGCTGGAGCTTGGTCTCCTGGACTGAGCAGAAGCAGGTGCAGTCGCCTCCCGGGCCCTTACTAGTTGCCCTGTTGGCTTTAGCGGCCACCGGTGGGACCTGGCACCTTCTTCCTGCCCAGCTGCAGACCAGCATGTCCGGCAGGTGGGGGCCTTCAGGAAGCCTTTGGCGGGGTGTTCACAGGCAGTGAGATGGTCTCAGAAGGCTTACCCAAGGAGATGATGTGGGCGCTGAGGCCCCAACCCTGGGCAAAGGGGCGTGCGTGGGAGGGGCTTGGGTACCGCCTATGAATTCAGTTTGCCAGCTGCTGTCCTCCCTGAAGGAGCAGAGAGTTCTACTAGGGTAGGGGGTGGGGTGAGGGGAACCCGCACGCGGTGAAGGGGCGGGTGTACCCGGGCGCTGGCCGGGGCCATTCCAGCCCGGGAGCGCGTACTCGTGCAGAGCGCGCGCGTGTTCTGGCCGCGCGTGGCGGCGGCAGCGGCGGGGCAGGCAGCTCCGTGACGCTGCACCGGGCAGAGCGGGCGGAGCACACGGGCCGGGGCGGAGCGGAGTCCTCCGCAGAGCAGCCCCTCCCGGCCACGGCCGCCGACCCCGGCCCCCGGCCCGGCCTGGCTCTATGGACAGGAGCTCGCTGCTGCAGCTTATCCAGGAACAGGTGCGTTGGGAAAGGGGGTGCTGGCACCGCCCCCGCCGCGGCCCTCCACTATTGGGCTGAGCTCGCAGAGTCCCAGCCCAGCCCCCACTCCCCCAGCCCCCTCCTGCACAACCTTGGCCCCCTGCCTGACACCCCAGGAAAGGGCCAGCCAGACCAGGATGCTCTGGGGAGTTGGGGGGAAGGGAGGGTAATTGTCCTCAGACCTTGGCTCTACCCTTCCAGGATGAGTAGGGTGAAAATAAGGTGGGGAGACCCCTGGAGGCCTGGCACCCAGGCACCAGTGCCCTGGCAGCTCCTGAGACCATGTGGGCACAGGGGCCTGGCCCAAGGGTGTTGGGAGACTGCCTCTCCCAGCTGGCTTGGCCCAGCCCTTTGGTCTGTGGGCTGGGCCCACCCTCAGGCCTTGGCCGGCGGCCCCACCCCACCCCAGCAGCTGGACCCTGAGAACACAGGCTTCATCGGTGCGGACACCTTCACTGGCCTGGTGCACAGCCATGAGCTGCCCCTGGACCCAGCCAAGCTGGACATGCTGGTGGCCCTGGCCCAGAGCAACGAACGGGGCCAGGTCTGCTACCAGGAGCTGGTGGACCTGGTCAGTGCCACAGTGGGTGGGCAGCAGGGGCGGGGGCCCGGGCCTTGGCCAGTACAGTGCCCTGGCTGGAGTTGGGTGGGTAGGTGGCCCTTCCTCCCTGCCGTTCCCACTGGGGCAGGTCCTCAGACCCTGTGAGGAGCCGGGGGGACCAGGTGGGCATGGAGGCCGTGGGGGGAGCACCATGTCCCATGCTTAGGCCCCACCCCCCCAGATCAGCAGCAAGCGCTCAAGCAGCTTCAAGCGGGCCATCGCCAATGGACAGCGGGCACTGCCCCGGGATGGGCTGCTGGATGAGCCGGGCCTGGGTGTCTACAAACGGTTCGTGCGCTATGTGGCCTATGAGATCTTGCCCCGAGAGGTAGACCGCCACTGGTATTTCTACCGGCATCGCAGCTGCCCACCGCCTGTGTTTATGGCCTCTGTCACCCTTGCCCAGGTGAGCCTGCCCATCTGCCACCTGTCTCCCTGGCCTGGCCTGGCCCTAATGCCCATTTCTCCCAGATCATCGTGTTCCTGTGCTACGGGGCTCGCCTCAACAAGTGGGTACTGCAGACCTATCACCCCGAGTACATGAAGAGCCCCCTCGTGTACCACCCTGGCCACCGAGCTCGGGCCTGGCGCTTCCTCACCTACATGTTCATGCATGTTGGGTGAGTGGGGGCCCACTTCCAGCACCCCTGATTAAATATGGGCAGTTCAGCCCTTTGAGGCCGGGGCTAGGGGTCTGATGGCTGATCCCACTCCTCATACCTGTTTGCCCCCACATGACCAGGCTGGAGCAGCTAGGGTTCAACGCCCTCCTGCAGCTGATGATCGGGGTGCCCCTGGAGATGGTGCATGGCCTGCTTCGCATCAGCCTGCTCTACCTGGCTGGCGTGCTGGCAGGTGAGGCAGGTTGTGCCCTGTGGCCACCTCACTGGTGGGTCTCACCCTCATGGTGTCCCCTTGCTTCACACAGGGTCTCTGACGGTCTCCATTACTGACATGCGGGCCCCTGTGGTGGGGGGCTCCGGCGGGGTCTACGCCTTATGCTCTGCACACCTGGCTAACGTCGTCATGGTAATGGGACAGCCAGGTTGGGGTGAGGGGAGGGGCCCACAAGGCTTCGCTCACAGCTTCTGTCTCATGCCCTATCAGAACTGGGCTGGGATGAGGTGTCCCTACAAGCTGCTGAGGATGGTGCTGGCTCTGGTGTGCAGTAAGTAGGGGGCCTGGGGGAGGGATGGGGTGGGAGCGCTGAGCCCATGGCAAGGGCACCTCCCACTTGCCACTTCCCTCTGCAGTGAGCTCCGAGGTGGGCCGGGCTGTGTGGCTGCGCTTCTCCCCGCCGCTGCCTGCCTCCGGCCCCCAGCCCAGCTTCATGGCGCACCTGGCTGGTGCAGTGGTGGGGGTCAGCATGGGCCTGACCATCCTGCGCAGCTACGAGGAGCGCCTGCGGGACCAGTGCGGTTGGTGGGTGGTGCTGCTTGCCTACGGCACCTTCCTGCTCTTTGCCATCTTCTGGAACATCTTCGCTTATGACCTGCTGGGTGCCCACATTCCCCCGCCACCCTGACGAGCTCCCGGGGGCCACACGGGCCAGGGGGTGGCCTGCATGTCTGCCCTCTGTGAATGTACATCTCGAGGCTGCTTCTCCCGTGAGGACAGGTAGCCCCTGTGGCCCACTGAGTCCAGGCTAAGCCTTACACCAGCCCTGGCCCCCCCTCCCAGGCCTGGGGCAGGTAGGACTGCTGGGCCAGGCTGGGTGGTAGAGGTCCCAAGGGTGGCCCCAGAGGAGGCCTTGTCCCAGCCTCCCCCCAGGACTTGCAGTCTGAGCCTTTTTGGAGAATGAATAAATATTTTACACAGCACCAGGTGGCTGTACAGGGCTCTGGAGGCTGGTCTGGCCTCCCCACTTACTCGAGCAGACTGTGAGGGCTCTTTCCTCCATGTGGACGTCCTGGATCCCCCTTGCTCCTCTGCACCTACTATAAGGTGTGTCTGTATGGGAGGTGGGAACCCCTGGGGAGAGATTGTGGACCTCATGGTCAGGATGAGTTCAGCAAGGATTTATTGAGCTTCTACAATCACACGGCAGGTGAGCAGGCCCTGGGCCACAGCCAAGTTCAGTCTGCCTGGGTCCTGAGCTTCTTGGCTGGCCTGGTATCCTCAGGGCTGTCCAGGCTGGGGCTGAGGTTGGGCAGTAGGGATGGGCACAGCTTCTGCCCCACAGCCCAGGTCCACAATGCTGTCTCCACATGGTGAGGGGTCCACGACCCTGAGGCACTACCTAGGGAAGCACAGAGGGAGTCTGGGGCTCAGGGCACTGGCCACCCTGCCCTTCGGGACAGCTCTGCACACTCCACCCTGACTGGAGTCCCACATACCCTCCTAGTCCACCAACTGTCCCCTCACCTCGGCTCAGGGCTCTGGCACGCTCCTGCACCTGGTCCAGGTACAGCAGGTAATGCTTCAGAGTGTACTTCAGGGCTGGCAGGCCAGGCACTGCGGCCACTGCCTCATCGGACATGAAGGCTGCCACTTCAGGAGCTCCGACAGCCAGGACCGCTGTGAAGGGCCAGCACTCAGACCCCACCAGTCTCGGAACAACCTCAGTGTGGGCTGTCATTCCCAGTGACCCTCCGCGTCATGGGCGTGGGTATTGGTCCATATAAAAAAGACACTAGCAGACCAGGTCCTGCCTATGACCCTGCGGGTGTGACTAGCTCTCCCTAACTAACCCGCGGCCGTGGCGGGGCGACCAGCTCTCCCAACTAACCCGAGGCAGTGGCGGGGCCCACGCCCCGGAGGGCGCACAATTCCGTGATCGCTGCCAGCATGTCTGGAAGGCGGCGGAAGGCCGAAGCCGAGCGTTGCACCACCAGCTCTGGGGGGTTGGTGGCCACCAGCTGCTGCAGGCGAGGACGGAAGCGGCCCCTCTGCAGCCGAGTCGGATTGGGTGGGGTGGTACTGGTGGTGGATCTCTCCAGGGGGACCCCGCCCCACAACATGAGGACCCGCCTCCAGAGGGAGCTCCGCCCCACGCCGCGAGGGGCCACCCCTAGATGAAGCTCCGCCCCCAGGAGGCGGGCCCACCTGCCGCTATTCCACTCCCCACGTGGAAAAGCCCCTCACCGCCAGCTTCCACGCCATCAGCCGCTCTAGCTCTTCTCGTGTCACGTGCTTCTCCGCTCGGCCCTCAATGGACATGGGCAACTCCTCTCGATACCTGAGGAAGAGCGGTCACGGGGAGTCCGGGCAACGGGGGTCGCCCGCCCTACCGATGCCTCCATCGCCCTACCATCGATCCAGGGCTTCCAGTTGCCCCTGGGGGCCCGCGCGCGCCCGCAGCACCTCCCCGTGGAGAGCCAGGATGGCGGCCCAGCGGCTCGGATCCTCACAGCCCCACAGACCGCAAGCGACTGCCATGTTCAAGGGCTGGGTCTCGGAAGGGGCGGGACCGGCTACGGGAAGGGGCTCCTGATGGGCGTGGCCGATCGCGAGGCTTGGGTTGGACCGACTTTTGAAAAGACGAGCCCCGAGTGCGAGGGGCGGAGCCACCTGGGGCAGCCCTCAGCTCCTCTCTAGACTTCCGACGTCGCGGGTCGCGTCGCCGAAGCGCACGTTTCCGCCGGCCCCTACCGCCAACAGAGCGTCGGGGCACGCGAGGCCCCGCCCACTCGCGCGTGTCCGTTTGCCCCGCTTGCCCCGCCCCGCGCGACCGGAAGTTCCGGTGGCGGATCGCTGGACCGGGCCCTAGCAGATCGCGGGCTCGGGCTGCGGGCTCGAGCTGCGGGCACAGGGCGGGCCGGGCGCGGAGCCTGGGAGCGGTGCCCAGGCCGTGCCGTGCGGCGCCATGAAAGGCAAGGAGGAGAAGGAGGGCGGCCCGCGGCTGGGCGCCGCCGGTGGAAGCCCCGAGAAGAGCCCTAGCGCGCAGGAGCTGAAGGAGCAAGGCAACCGGCTCTTCGTGGGCCGCAAATACCCGGAGGCGGCGGCCTGCTATGGCCGCGCCATCGTGAGTGTCCCCGCGCCGCGGGTGGGGGCCGGCGTCCGGGCCAGGGGAGGGGGCGGGGCCTGCCTGGCCGCCCCCGCCGGACCTTCGGAGGGTCTTGGCTCTGGACGGGGGAGGGGCGTTTGGGCTCTGACGACTCAATGAAGATCTTGTTCCAAAGGGGCCACAGCCGCGGCTCTCGAGCCCATCGCCGAACTATGGCGGGTGAAAGCTTCAGGGCGCTTGAGGCCAGCAGGGCACGGGGCTTAGGGATTTCCACAGGTCTAGGAAACTTACCTTGACAAAACCTACTGGAGTCAAGAGGGTGGGCTCAGGCAGGTCTCAGGGCCAGACACCACCCTCCACCTATCCTCAGGATCCAGGAGCCTTGAAGCTGAGAAACCTGGACACTAGCAGGTTTCCAACCATGAGCCCCAAGCCAAGACAGGGCCTAGGACAGAGGGCAGGCTAAGTTCACTCTCTCCTGTTGATTGGCCGACCCTGGTCCCCAGACCCGGAATCCCCTAGTGGCGGTGTATTACACGAACCGGGCACTGTGCTACCTGAAGATGCAGCAGCATGAGCAGGCCCTGGCCGACTGCCGGCGTGCCCTGGAGTTGGACGGGCAGTCTGTGAAAGCACACTTCTTCCTGGGGCAGTGCCAGCTGGAGATGGAGAGCTATGACGAGGCCATCGCCAACTTGCAGCGAGGTGAGCCTACTGGCTGTCTGGTTATGGGGGTGCCTGGGGCCAGGCGAGTGGACTGGCCAGAGGATGACTTGAACACTGTGTTCCCTCAGCCTACAATCTGGCGAAGGAGCAGCGGCTCAACTTTGGGGATGACATTCCCAGTGCTCTGCGCATCGCCAAGAAGAAGCGCTGGAATAGCATTGAGGAGCGGCGCATCCACCAGGAGAACGAGCTGCACTCCTACCTCACACGACTCATTGTGGCTGAGCGGGAGAGGTGGGCTGTGGGGGCAGGCTCCAGAACCCCCTCACCCGCCAAGTCACCACTCTTAAGTCATGAACACAAGTATTTATTGAAGGCCAGTACTGGCGAACAAGAGACAGGGGGATGAGGCCTGAACAAGCCCAAGGTTGGGGTGGAATGGGAACTTCCCTGGTCAAACCTTTCTCTGAGCAGCTCCTGGTTAACCCCCAGGGAGTTGGAAGAGTGTCAGCGGAACCATGAGGGTGATGAGGACGATGGCCACATCCGGGCCCAGCAGGCCTGCATCGAGGCCAAGCACGTGAGGGTGCCCCGGCCCACATGTGGGTCTGTGTGTGTTTGTGTGCATGTGACGTGAGGGTGCTCCTGGCTCCAGTTGGGTTGGTGTGTGCCTGTCTGGGGAAGGGAGATGGGGTGTCTGGCCCACACATGGCTGCTTGGTTCTTTGTAGGACAAGTACTTAGCAGACATGGATGAGCTCTTTTCCCAAGTGGATGAGAAGAGAAAGGTGAGTTGTCTGTTCTCTGGGGTCTGTGGATAGCAGGAATTGGAGCAGTGTCCACTTCCTGGTCCCTGACTTGCTCCTGTGTGAGGCAGAAACGAGATATCCCTGACTATCTTTGTGGCAAGATCAGCTTTGAGCTGATGCGAGAGCCATGCATCACGCCTAGTGGCATCACCTATGACCGAAAGGACATCGAGGAACACCTGCAGGTGAGGGCCCATAGGCGCTGGGGGCAGGGCCTGGGCCCAATGAGCACCTTCTGACCCTGTTGTCACTGCAGCGCGTGGGCCACTTTGACCCTGTGACCCGGAGCCCCCTGACCCAGGAACAGCTCATTCCCAACCTGGCCATGAAAGAAGTCATCGATGCATTCATCTCCGAGAATGGCTGGGTGGAGGACTACTGAGGCAGGGCCACTGCCCCACCTTGCCCAACACCCTGGCCCAGGACAGCCTTGGGGCAGTAGCTCCCAACCCCTGTACATAGTTTGTGTCCCCGGATCCCTGCTCTGGTGCCCTGACCTCATCCTCCATCAGTTCTGCTGTTAGGCCTTGAGCCTCCCCCATCCCCCTTCTGGGCCGGAAACAGCAGGCTAGGGAGGGTTGGGCTGAGGCTGCTGCTGCCACCACTGTCCCTGTAATAAAACCTGTGAGCAGTTATAGGGGTGTGTGCTGGTGTGTGATGGGGTTTGCCAGCTGCCTGCTCTGGCTAGCTGAGGAAAGTAGAGATGAAAACACTGGTGTCGAGGTTGAGTGTGGCATGCCACCATCGGTCAGGGAAATATAGCACCTGGATGGGGTAGGGCACAGGGATTAGTTGAGGGCCATTGGCCCAGCCCAGCCCCGCCCCCTCTTACCAGCCACTGACCTCACCAGGCTGGATAGTGCACTCCAGGGGCTGTGCAGATGGCGTCAGGGCTGGGTACATGTCCCGGAGCCAGGACAGTGTGGTCTTGTTGGGATGAAACTTGGGTGTCTTCTCAGGGGGATACAGGAACCAGCGCTGGGGGCAGGAGAAGCTAGGTCACTCTTGGTGGTGTGGTCAACAAGCCCCAAGTCTTAGCCACGGCCTTGTGCTTACCTTGCGGCCGTAGATCACCTCTGAGAACCCAGGCCCGTGCCAGTGGAAGGGCACCCCAGTGCCAGCTCCTGTGGGGTCAGTTATGAGTAGCTGGTTACCAAACCCAATTTGCGCTCCCCACTCCACCCCTCCAAATCTCCTGGTCTTGTGTGACACCCACCTGCAATCCCAAAGCTGTACGCAGGAGTGGTACCCAGCAGACCAAATGTGGGTGGGGAGTAGTGCCGAAAAAGTGATGCCCATTCAGTGAAGTTGTTGTCTCCAAAGAAATACAGGGTGTCTGCCAGCAGAGAACACAGGAGGGCGCAGGGATCCTGGTACCTAGGTACTCCCCGACCCCCCACCCCATTGCCACCCAGGCCTGGCTCACCATTGCCCAGGGAGGTGGGGTCCTGGGGGTGCAGCAGCTGTTCCACGTACTCCTGGAAGGGAATGTCCACTGCGGAAAGGGGCCAGTCAGGGCTGGGTGGTGGTGCCTGCGGGATGCTGGCAAGCAGGCTGGGCTGTGAAGTGGGGCAGCTCACCTTTCTGGTAGGAGTAGGTGTTAGCAGTACTCAGCCGTACTACGTTGTCCCCAAACGAGGCCAGCAGCCTTTCGCGGGAGCACAGAGCCCGGAACCTCTGCGTGGGAGGTAGAGGATTTAAGGGCTCAGCCCAGCTCGCGTGAGAGAGCGCTAGGAGGAGCGCGAACACTCACCGAGTTGTCCGTGAGCCCCTGCAGGATGACGGGTCTGGAGAAGGCATAGCTGAAAGGAAAGGCAGAGGCACGGTCGGGTGTCTGACCCTCGCCTCCCTTGGGCCCCGCCCACACGCGTTCGCTCCAGGTCTCGGGGAGGCGGCCTTGGGAGGCCTAGGCGCGCACGGCCGGCAAACAAAAGCGTGACAGCATCGATCCACGTTGACAGAGCTCCTGGATGGGTTTTCGGGTGTGGGAGGTGTAGCCAGTACGGGAGGGCGCACGTACTGCTGGATGAACTCGGCGTAGGTGAGGTCGGACCTACGCTCCACCGTGCAGCGCTCCTCCGCCACTGCCGCTGACGTACCGGGCCCGCGCCGCTGCCTGCAGGTATAGTCTGTCAGCGTTTCGGGCCGCCCGGAAGCGCGGCCCCGCTCCAGCCACCCGGCGCCGCTCACCACCCTCCGTCGCCCTCCAAGCCGGGCCGAGCTGGAGCTGCCAGCATCCAGAACAGGAGCAGCAGGAGCGGCCGCGCCCCTGTCTCCATGAGTCCGCCGCCGCGAGGCAAACCCCGGAGCTCCGTCGTCGTGGCAACGGCCCGGGCACCCGGACGGCTCCCGGAAGCGGCCTCCTTTGGCCCGCCCCGGAAGGGGCGGCATTTCCGGATAGCAAAGCAAAGGCAGAGAGCTGCTTGTAACTTCTGCCAGCTCCCATGGCGACATTGCCACCCGCCCACTAGAGTCGCCCGGTCGCAAGAACAGGGAAGCCAGCGGCGCGACGGACCCGGTAACAGGCAGCCTCAGACTGTGGCTCCCGCTTTATTTGGTTCACAAACCCAGGCCCCCTCCTGCCTCGGGCAGACGGGTCAGGAGTACTCGCATAAGTGGCCGCAGCCGGCGGGGCAGTGGGAGCTGCCTTCCAGCCACTTCATGATGTGTTGCAGGTGACCCCCGTGACTGCAGCCCTGGCACCACACGAACAGACCTTTGACCACGTGGTGGCAGACTGCACACATGCTGGCGCAGCGGTGGCACCTGTCGCAGACCCAGCCACGGCTGCTCATGGGCCGCTTGCAATGGCTGCAGTTGACATGCAGGGTGGTGGAGGCCTGATTGAGGCAGCTGATGGCACGGCTGGTGCTGAGCTTAACCACCTGGTTGGACACGTTCCAGAGGCAGAAGCGCTGCAGCAGGTCGATGTAGGACGTGTACCAGTGCTCCTGGTGGTGCAAAAAGGGGTGAGGGAGGGAAGTGGGAGGCCAGAGTTGTGGCACACAGGGGTTTCACCCCAGCATGCTGGGTGCAGGTGCAGGTGGGGTGTGCAGGGATGCCTTCCCCCAGGCCTAGTCACCCACCTGGGTCTGTTCGTCAATGTCCTTGCGCACACGTTCACCCAGCACGATGAGCACGGACACAGCCATCTGGACGTCGCCCTGCTCGGCATAGAAGCGCAGCATGTCACACACCAGGGCACTGAAGAAGTCCGGCGGCAGGCGGCTGTCATAGAGTGCATGTGAGACAGAGATGAGCGAGAAGGAGTCCACAGGGGCCAGGGAGGCCGCATCTGCCTCGCTGCCGCTCACGTGGGGCGAGTCAGCCTTGTCCTGCAGGTGCTCAGGGCCTGGTGGCGTGTCCACAATCTCGTGGCGCAGTGGAAAGGCCTCCTGGGGCAGCACATACTCAGGATCCTCAGCTGCAAGGCAGAGACAGGGTCTGAGCCTCTGGGCCCGCCTCCCACCTCTGCCCCTCCCAACCCTCACTCACTGTGTGCATGTTCTGGATCCAGCAGGTACAACTCATCTTCCTCGCCCTCCACGTCGCCCAGCAGGTAGTCGGCAGGCACATCACTGCCCTCAGTCTCCTCATTATCTGCCCACGAGGGATGAAGGGAGAGATTCCCACCGTTGGCTTGCTCTGGGATGCCCCAGCCCCACACAATGCCCTATGCTCCCCTCCCACCTACCCTCATTGGTGATGAGTGTGGCTGAGGAGTCGAGCAGCACTGTGTCGCTCCGTGTGTCACCCTTGCTGCGGTCCAGCCGGGTCTCACTGCCCAGTCCTTGGGACATATCCTTCAGGTTGAAACTGGGGGCAGGGAGGGCCTATGGGTGGGTGGGCTCCAGTAGTCAGTCCTACCCTCTGGAGAGTGCCACCACTAGGGGTTTACCTGTTCATGAGTGGCAGGCCACAGGAGCTGCCCTTGCCCACGCTGTGGTTGAGGTTGGTAGTGGGCACTAAGCCAGGGCTGCAGTAGATGATCCGTAGCATGGTCCATGTCTGTGCCACCTGGGGGGGGACGGTCACTGGTCACTCACAGGGGTTCTGGGTCCCTGGTGTCTCATGCAGCGCCCCCCACCTTGCCTGGATGGAACCACAGACCCTCAGCGTTCAACTGCCCCAGGGAACCAATGTCCTGGCCCACCCCAGATAAGGAAACCAAGTCCCATGGGCAAGACAAAAATCTCATCCTGCAGGGCACAGAAGGAAGCAGATGTAGGAGGCAGCCAATGTGGAAATGAGTCTGGGGTCCCAGGGAGGTGATGAGAGAGGCAGTATGGACCTCTGCAGGGCCAGATGCCTGAGGAAGTCTGAAAGCAAGAATGAGCCAGAGGGGGCTTAAGCCCCATGACGCCCCAGATGGCACTGGTGTTTGCCCTGCTTTGGGACCCTGAGGACCCTCGTTATTGGAGTGGGTAAAGGCTGGTGGTGGCAGTGGCCAAGCTGAGCATTGACTTACAGCAGGATCTGGGGGCAACAGTTGTTGGAGCCCCCTGCCCCAAGATCATGGCCCCTAGGGCCCCCTCAGCCTAGCCCCACCTACCTGGTTTCGACCGAGCTCCCGAGCCACTTTTGCATTGTGGTCACAGAGCTCAGCCAGTGGCCGGCCAGCTAGAGCATAACGCTCAGCCGTGTCAACAAACCAGCTCATGCTGCCACTGCCAGGCTCCATCTCAAAGATGCTGAGGGCGCTGGAGGCGAGCCCTGCGAAGGGCTCAGCAGGGTCCAGCTTGCGCTTGAAGAAGATGGGGTGGCGCCGATCACCAGCGAAGGGCTTGCGCCCTGAGTCGGTGGCCACTAGGCTCTCCTTGGCAGCAAAGGCCAGGTCCCCAAAGAGCCCATAGCAGAGGCCCTCGGGGTTGGCACGCTCAACAGGCTGGCTGGCATCACGGAACAGGTGCTGGCACAGCGTGCTGTCCTTGGAGCCAGAGAGCAGGAAGGAGGGGTCGTGCGGATGGCGCCAGGCAATGCCTGTTGTGACGTCACGATGCTCCTCAAACATGGCTGCAGGCACAAAGGGCCTGCGCACGTCCCACACGTAGATGTTGTGGTCCACCATCATGGAACATGTGGCCAGGTGGTGGCGGCACTCAGGCCGCCACTTGACTCTGGCCACTGAGGCAATGGTTTGCACACAGTGCACCTCCTTGGCGCGGTGCGTGGTCATGTCCCAGACCTTCACCATCTTGTCACGCCCACCTGTGGCCAGCCAGCCCCTACGGAAGGCCCATGAAGTCCTCAGTTTCCTCTCTGGGGATGGGAGGGCTCCCCATTCTCTGTCTCACAGGAATTGAGGCAATGAGAGAGCCCTTCCATGAGCCCACCCATCCTGCCCCAGTGCCCCTGCAACTACTCCACCCCACACCTGTCCTCGGGGTGCCAGTCGCAGCAGAAGACTGGCCCATTGTGGGCTGTGAACATCCTCTCACAGCGGTCAGGCCGCCGAATGTCCCAGAGCTGCACGTTGCCATTCTCAAAGGTGGAGGCAAAGGTGAAATAGTCCCGGATGCTGAACTGGACATCCCGCACACTCTCAGACTGGCCTGTGGGCAGGATGTCAATGGAGGGAGAAGATGAGGGGGGCAGCCCAGAGGGGGCTCCAGAAGGGAGAGTGGCCAAGACTAGAGCCCTTCGAGTGGCTGTGTACCTCCCCCGCAAGGCCTGCCTAGGGTGGACGGGGCGAGGAGAGGACACAGCAGCCTGGGCTAGGCAGCAGGACACCAGCCACTGGGGTGGTTTCTGATACAAACTCCTGGACCTCAATTTTCACTGGATTCTTTGTCTGATGCCAATCCCTGCACAAAGCTGTATCCCAGCTTCAGGACTGGGTATCAGAGCATTGGGCAAACAGGAGCCTCACTGGACCACATTCTCCTGGTGGGAGGAGGGCAGTCCTGAGGCCCCCAAGGGAGGCCCAAGGAAGTATGGATGAGGGTGCCTCAGCCTCCACCCAGTCCAGTCCCTTTACCTTGAGCTGGAGCTCTGGGTCAACCCCAGAGGACTGGATGCCTTGAGGGTCCATGTCCGCCCCCATAAACTGTCCCACCAAAAGCCTCCGAGGGCAGGTCCAGCTTTCTCCCAGCACAGGTAGCTCAGGGTCTGTCCTAAGAGGTCCCCCAATTCTCTAAGACCTCTGAGGGCTCTACCCTGTTTTCAGTTGGTTTCATTGAAGTGGACAAGGGAGGGCTGGCACAAGGTCACTGTCAGGGAGCTGGGCCTACTGGGAAAAGAATTGTAGGGCAACCAAGAAGTGAACCCCACTTTCTCTGCATCCCTGGACTGAGGACCCTGGAGGTCCTGGTGGACTTCTTGCAATGAGGCAACCTGGAGATCTGAGGCAAAGAAGATGAGGCAGTGAGACAACCCTCTGCTCAACTACTCAGGTTGGCTGTGGGCCTCCACAGGCTCGGCCCTCTCCCTCATCTCATACCCAGCCTTGACTCCTGCTGCCCCACTCCGAGTACCCCTCACATCTCGTCCAGGCCTGCCCCTGTCCCTTACCTGCTGACCCCCACCTGCTCTTCCAGTGCCTGCTCAGCTGGCCCCTCCTTCAGGAAGCCCTTGGGAACATATCTGAGGGCCTTTGAGGCACAATTTCTCAACCTTCCTGGACAAGCCAGCTGCCTGCAAAGACACACACCTGCCCAACCTGCCTGTGAGGGCCTCACCTGAGAAGGTGCTGACAGAGTCCTTCTTGCGGAGGTCGAAGCACTTCATGAAGCCATCCTGGGAGCCACTGAGCAGCACATGGGCCTCAGAGGGGTGGAAGCAGACTTTGTTCACTGTGCGCTTATGCTCTGTGAACAGCTGGTCCTGCTTGTTGCGGGATGGCCGACCCAGGTTCCACGTGACCACCACACCATTGGTGGCTGCGGTGGCCAGTAGGTTCTCGTCCATCTGATGCCAGACAACATCAGCACAGCTCAGGTTTAGCGAGGGCTTGCGGCCCACACGCAGGTTCAGCTTCTCCACAAACTGTTCCTCCTCGATGGCATAGATCTTGAAGATGCTACGGCCCGCCACGACCACCTGGGCCGCATCTCGGCACACACTGATGGCATTGGCGGGTGCATCCAGGTGGCAGTGCATGGTGTGGCCCGTCAGCGCACTGCCACCCAAAGCTGTGGTCACGCGAGACATCTTCTCCATGGCTGCACCAGTGGTGGGGACAAGAGGTCAGTGAAGTTGGCTGGCCTTGTCAGATGGTGGGGGGCAGAGGGGATGCTGTCAGCTCAGACCCTTCACCCTGGCTGGATCCCCCAAAACTGGTTAGGCGTGGACTCCTCAGTCTTGGTGAGCCAGTCTGGGGCAGTCCACCATTAATCAGTCTGATCAGCAAGTTCCATTACCCTGGCTGGGCAGTCAGAAGGGGCTGTAGCTGCCCTGGGGATGGTCAGTCCCATCAATGTCTCACTTCTGGGGAAGACTCCACCTGGTCAGTCGCAGCCCAGGTCACCTTCCCATCACCCCAGCAGTCAGATCTGGGCGGCCACTGGACCTTCTGTCAGTCAATCCCGGCAAGGAAGCGAGGTGGTTACCACCACCCACACAGTCGGCCCTGGGGCCTCCGGGGATGGGCCAGAAGGGCTAGGGGGGCGCAGGGGACACGGAGGGACTTCAAGGACCGAGCTGTTTAAGGAACCTGAGGGGTCTGGAGGGACGCGAGGCAGGAGACACAGGCGGCGCGGAGGTTGCGGAGGCAGCGGGAACAGAGCCAGAGGAACCGAAGAAGCCTCTTCCTTCGCGAGCACCCGAACCATTTAGCAAAATTGACCGGCCGGGGCGGGCCGGAACCTCCGCGCCGGAAGCAGTCCGTTTCTTTCCCGCCCGTCGCCGGAAGCGATCGTGTTCTTGTCAGCTTCTCGCCGAAAGTTCCGGATAACGGAGCTGCGCGGGCGGAGGTGGAGTTCTGAGCCAAGACTGAGGTAGAGGGGCTCCCTCGGTTCCGCCTCGTTGCTTGTTCTCTTTTGTCTCGATATTTTAATACTAGTGCTCATCTTTCCCCCAAAGTCCGTCAGCATGTCTATGCATCTCTAAACGGGTACCGAATCCCTCCAATCGTCTTACCTCTTTCCTCACTCTCTTCTAGACACCAGAAACAGGTTTTCCTCGTTCCCCGTGGTCTGCACAGCAGCCAGGTACTCTTCGGACTAAGGCGCCTCATCGCTCCCCACCCCGCAGTGAATAAATCTCAAACTCCTGGCCTCTGCCTCTCCCCGCGCACCTCCAGCCACCGCTGCTTCCATCCCTTCCAGCTCCTCAGGGCAGATATACCTTTCCCCCCCGCCACGGTCTGATGACCTAAAAACAACAATTACACGTGTTTTTACAACTTTTTTAATATATATTTTTATAAACAGGTCACGTGATAAAATAGCACAAGAAACACTTACCAAATATAAGGTTATATCTTCCGCATATACAGGAGAATGAGGTCGTTATGTACAGTAAGAAAATGACTTTAGGGGTTGGTTGGTTTTGTTTTCCTCTCTCCCCTTAAATTTTCCTCCTACAGTCGTTGGAAATATCACAGCTTCAGTTGCATTAATACTTTGGACAAATGGACAGCTGCCCCCTCCCCACTAAGGAACTGTGGGGAGAAAGGGCTGAAAAAACCGGCTCCTGACCACCTCAACCCAGGAGCCTCCTTCCAGCACTCCAGGGACAGAGAGATCTTTGGGCCGTTGAACTGTTTCTCTGCTTCAATAGCATCTCTCGCTCGCGCTCTCTCTCTCTCTCCCTCTCTCGCATTCTCTCACTCTCTGGCTCTCTAGAAACTGGTTACTCTCTTCCAACCAGATGGGGGCAGGGGTGTCCCAAGATTAGGTGTGGGGTGCTATATCTCCTGGGGTTCAAGGTTGGGATGGAAAGGGGTCCCAGCCCCCTCCTCAGCAATTGCCAAGATGTGCCAGCATCCCCCTAGGACTTCCAAATGTCTTGGGATTGGACAGAACACGGTCAGAGCCCATTTGGGCAAGCAGAGGTTTGGGAAGCTGGGGAGGGGTCGGGGGCAGCTAGAAAGGAGCCCTCCCTCTTCGGTGCTGAGGATGTGCTGGCCACTGGAAGAACGGAGTTGCTTGCTGATGTTGACCAAGCCTTGGGTGGGGCCCAGTTTTCCAGCTTCCACCTGATGGAAACCTGCCCAGTGTGAAGTGTAGCACTGAGGGGCCTGGGCCCAGCAGGCTACAGGGGCTGCACTGTAGGTTCCACCCAAGACTGCTCCCAAGGTAGCTGTACCACCTCTGGGTTGAGTGGGCTGGGCTAATGTTGATTATGCCAAGGTCACTGTCATCCATTCTGCCCCTCTCCCAACCCAATTCTGCCCCAGCTTGGCCCAGGGCCCAAGGACTTGTAGGCCTGCGGGTGGGGGTGGGGTGAACAGGGGACTGCCTCACACAGTGGCAATGAAAACGGGAGGTCGCTTGGGTCAGGCTGGCATGAGGTGGGGTAAGGGCGGGTGGAACTTGGGCTCCTCAGCGGGCCATGGCTTTGTCGGCGGCCTGTTTCCCTTCGCAACCCTCGGAGGGCTCCAGGCGCGATGCGGTCGGTGGAAGATGCGGACAGCCCATGGGGCTCTTCTGGGTCCCTGTGTTCTGGGGGACCCAGTCCCCCTCAATCCCCCAGGGCCCTGCCCGGGATTGGGGGACAGCCCGGAGACAGAACAGGGTGTGGCGGGGAAGTCGGTAAGGGCGGCGGCCAACTGGCGAGCTTAAAATGCCCCCCAGGACCGGACCTGGTTCCCCCACCCCCTGCGGGCGGGCAAAAGATGGAGGCGGCTGCGGCGTGGTGGAGGGCGGGCGTGCAGGGCGGGCACGAGGGGCATGCACAAATCCCCGAGTGTGCGTGCGTGCGTGCGTAGGGCTGGTCCCGCCCGACGCCCCTCCCTGCCTAGGCGGGGCCAGGAGAAGGGAGGGACCGTGGGGCGCGGGGCGAGGCTTTCCCTCGGTTTGTCCCGCCTCCCGCGCTAGGTGTTGGGGCTCCCGTGAGGGCAGGGCTGGGAAAGGGGATTCAGCGGCGCCCCCGTGTCTCCGCCCAGAGCGTGGCGGATTCCTGCGACGGGGGCGAGGATCCCACGCGCTACTCGATGACGAGGCAACGGGGCAGATGCTGCGAGAAGTACTTGAAGAGCTCGGGGGTGGCTCCGGGGCAGTTGGTCAGCTCCAGCTCCTCCAGCTCCTGCAGCTGCACCAGTCCCGACAGTCCCGTGGTGGTCAGCAGCGGACAGCCTGCGGGGAGCAAGGCGGCGGCTGAGTGAGCGTGGCCCAGCTCGAGGAGGGGGCAGGGGCCGTGAGGGCGGGGAAAGCAGAGGATTGGCTGGGCCGGGCCGGGCTAGAGCCTCCTCTGACTTGGACAAGGAACACAGCGAGTTAGCCCCAGGTATGAATCCGCACAATGGACCCTTCAGGGCTGGTGGAGTTGGACTAGGTGTGTGTGGAGGGGTGGTCACTGTCAAGGAGGGCGGCAGAGAGTCTCACCTGCTAGAGACAGGAGACGCAAACTCCTCATGGCCAGGAGGTGCTTCAGCCCGAAGTCCTGCACCTGGGCGGGAGGGCGGGGCGAGTTAACTATTTCCGCTCCCCTGTTGGAGCCCCACTCCTTGGGTCAGGCCGCAGGCCTTGAGCTGCTGGAGGGGCAGGGAGCGGGGTTCAAAACAGGGGTTTCTGAGCTCCCCACGGAGCCAGAAGGTAGTTGGGGAGTGCCAGGGTGAGGGCGCTAGGACAACGCGCGCTCCGCTTAGGTCAGCCGCTAGGTGTGGAAGGATCCCAGACTTCCTTAGAGGATCTGAGTGGGCCGGGAGCAGGTCAGAGGACTGTCTGGGTGGGATCTTTCCCCGCGCCCTCCCTCCACCTCCCCTGACAACTCCCCAGTCTCCGAGGCTCGATACCTGGCAGCACCATCGCAGGTAGAGGCTGCGTAGGGACGACATGGTGGACAAATAGCTGAGGCCAGTGTCCGTGATGCGTACACACCTGTGGTTGCAACAGAGAGGGGGTGCCCAACTTCAAAAAACCTCGCCCTGCCCCTCAGCTCCGACCCCTTCCTCCTTTCCCCACTCATAATAGCTCCTTCTTTTCCATAGCTCAGCCTCACCCACACTAGACCTGTGTTTTGAGGGCCCTGCCCCTCAAACCGCTCCCCACCCACGCTGCAGCCCCACTCTACCTACAGGCCTGTCCACTAGCCTAGGCTCCCTGCTTGAAAGGTCCAGCCAGCCTCGTCTGGTCCTGCCCTGCACGGCCTGGGGTTGGGGGATGCACACACCTGTCCAGCACTAGCTCCTCCAGGCGGTGCAGGTCGCAGGCCACATACTCCAGCGCCATGTCAGTGATGCGCGGGCACCAGGAGAGGTCGAGGCTGCGGAGCTTGCGCAGGTTCTCCGCCACAAGCTCCACGCCGTCATCAGTGACTTTAGAGCAGCCAGAAAGACTGAGCGCGGTGAGGTTGGGCAGGCTGTGTACCACGTTGACTACGCCGTGGTTGGTGATCTCCCAGCAGGAGAGCAGGCGCAGCGTGTGTGTGCTGTGGCCCTGGCGCGCTGTGAAGTAGGCCAGCGCTGTGTCTGTCACATGGTAGGCCTGCAAGCTCAGCTCTGCCAGGTTGGGCAGCAGCTGCGAGATGGCCGCGATGGCGTCGTCTGCCACGTTGATGCAGTCACTCACGCTCAGCGAGGTGATGCGTGCGCTCAGGCTGGACCACAGCCCTGCCTCCGTGAAGTCATTGCAGCCTGACAGCTCAAGGCGCACCACGCCTTGCATCTGCTCCAGCATTACCTGTTGGTGGCACGTTCGGGGTTAGGAGGCCAGACCTCACCACTGCCAAGGCCACTGTGAAAGCCTACATGGGTTCCCTGGGTGTGCCCCTCCCTGCAGGTTGTGGTGAGGAGGGTAGGAGATGGGGCAGAAAGAGCCCATGGAGTGGCAGGAAGCTGTGTTCTCCAGAGTGTAGATGAGTGTAAACACATTGAACTGCAGTCTTAGACAACTGTTCTTTACAGTGTGTCTGTTATGCTTCAACTACATTCTGAAAGAGGAGGCACAGCACAGAGGAACTGAAAGGCCAGGGCCTGGCCCAAGCAGGTGCCTGGAGCAGCTGGTGCAGATGATTTGATTAGAGCCCAGGTCCTAGGGAAGAGGCTGCCTGCACAGCTGCTCCTCTGACCTTTGCCCCTGCCACCTCCACCTCCTCCAGTATCCTCTCCATCCAAGGCCAGCTTCACTGGCATGCAGGGCCCATGCTCAGGAGAGCCCCACACTTAATGAACCGCTTTGTTGTCTTGAAATTCTTAATCATCTCTAAACAAATTATGTAGCCAGTTCTGCTCCCCCCCCCCAGCCACATCGCCCCTCAGGGCACTGGCACAGACCTCAGCTATATTGCTCCTTGCGCGCCCCCCAGCTTCCTCCAGGGGCCACTCCCCACCTCCCCCACCCCTTGCACCTGCTTGTTGCTGCTGCCTGGCCCTGCCCCTCATCCCTGTCCCTTCTGAGCCTGCAGTGAGACACACCTCCAAGCCGGCGTCAGTGATGGTGGAGCGCTTGAGGCTCATGGCCTTGACACCCTTCTTGGAGAGGGCGTAGTTGTCAATGAACTCACATATGTCCAGGTCGGAGACACCAACCAGGCAGAAGCCCTCAAAGCCACGTGCAGCAAAGCCCTGCAGGTTCACGAACTCCTTCTCGCCACCTGGCAGCACGTTGTAGAGCTCCTTGGCGTGCAGCACAGGTGTGAGGCCCACCCAGAACTTGGGCTGGTAGAGCACACGCCTCCAGGCCTTGCACACCTGGGCCAGCACACACTTCTCGCAGGCTGAGAAGTACCAGAAGAGGCCATTGAGGATCTTTTCATCTGTGGCCAGCGGCGGCCGCTCCACTGGGGGCCCAGGCACTGGGGCTGAGGCTGGTCCACCAAGGGGGAGCCCTGCCGGGGGGCACAGGCCCCCGGCCAGAGCAGCCCGAGGCATCGGGGTAGCCAGGCTGGATGGTGGGAGGGTGGGTGGGGGCAGCGGCTGGCAGGGGCGGTTCTTGGCAGCTGGCGTGCCCTTGGTAATACTGGCTGTGCCCAGGCCGTTGGGCTGGCCCGGCAGCTTCACCAGGCCATTTCGAGGCAAGCATGGAGGCTTGGGGTCGCCGTTGACTCCAGGGCTGGACATCTTCCTCGTTCACTCTGCAGACAGACGCCCGGAGTGGGGAGTGAGTTCCATGTTCTCTCCTGGAAGGCGGGGCAGAGCTGGGCCCTTTCCTGTCCCTGGGCTTCCCCTCCCACAGCACTTCCAGAAAGGCTCTGGGTGCAAGCCTCCCTCCCTGACTGAGCAGCAACAGGAGGACAGGGCTGATCCCTGAGCACCTAGTGTAGGCACTGAGCTCAACCTGCACCCACTCACAGAGCTCTTCAACACTATGGTTTCTAATTTATATAGGAGAGAACAGAAGTGGAGAGAGAGAGACACTCGCCTGTGACTGCTCCCTTTACCGTTGCTACCCTGATGCCCACCATCAGTGCTTGCCAGGCCTGTGTCCGCTGTGCAGGGGCTGTGGAACTGAGCAAGAGGATGTGGAGCAGTCTCTGGCCCCTCCACTATGGGGTGCCAGCATGGCCCTCTGGAGTGGTTCCAGTACCTGGGCACATGCTGGTCCCCCTGCTTGCTCAGTAGGCCTTCCTGCCAGCACTCTACAGTAGGTTCCATGGCCCAGAACCTACCCAAAGAAAGGGCAGGTGTCTTCCCAGTGTTTACCGTGATGGTAGCATAGTGAGTCCTGGACACAACTGTCTCTTTCATCCACCACCTTACCCACTGTGGATGATACTGTGGTGACTACACCCATTGACCAGATGAAGAAACTAAGCCTGAGGCAGTGTGAATTGTGTGACTGAGGTCATAGTGGTAGAACCAAGACTTGGACCTGAGCTGGCTATGGAAGGCTAAGTGAAAGGCGCTCCCCCCACGGTTAGGCCGAGACTGCCCGGCTCCCCTTCTCGGGCCTCCAAGGCTGTGAATGGGTGGCAGAGGGCACTGGGCACAGATGGTCCTGGAGAGAAGGGGCAGTGGGACCCTTACAGTGCCACCCTCTGCTCAACATTTCAGATCTGCCCACCCCACACCAGACATTCAGTGAGGAGGCTGTACACTTGGTGCTCACCCACACAGGCTCCAGGTCACACACTCTGGACTCAAAACAGGCCCTACCCTGGCTGTGTAGCCTGGGCAAGGCCTTCCCTTCTCCAAGCCTCACTTTCCTCACTTTGAAGCCTGGGAGGTGACAACACCCGCACCATGGGACAGCACGTGCAAAGGGCTAAGCATAGTGCATGGCTCACAATGAGCACTTGGACAGCTACTTCTGAGTCCCACGGCCCGCCCAAGTACAAGGGGACAGGAGCCACGGGGAAGTGAGTGGGCAGTCCTTCCCTGCTCTTTCTAGCACCACACAGCCTCCATTGCTTCTAAGCCCTGGACAGGACAACCCTTGCCAGCATTCCATGTCTTGGGAGGGGGCACAGACCTAGGTCATGTAGCCCTCATGGCTGCCAACCCAGCTTTTGGCCCAAAGGCCTTCCTGCCCTGGCAGTGAGCCCCTAGGCTGGCAGTCCACTCTGGGCATTCCCTCCCCAGGGGAGGCTCCCACACCTTGGCTGCCCGCCCACTGCAGCTCATGATCAGGTAGCTCATGACCTCACACAGGCTGACATAAGACATCCGTAACATCTGCCGATTGCCCACTGGGATAATCATGGATTTCAACCTCACAGCAGCTCTGGGTGGGGGGAAGGGGTGGCCACTACTGTTATCCCTGTTTTCAGGTTAATTAGGAACCTGAGGCTCCAAGGAGTTGGTTTACCAGTACAGGAGGAGGGAACCATAGTGGCCAGCAGTGTCTCATGGAGGGACAGGATGAAGCCCACGACTGGCCCCCACAACTCACTCCTGTGAGCTGCTGGGTACAGACAGGCAGCCCCAGCCCTGAATATCTTGTGTGTCCCCAGAGCAGGATACCATGATTTTCCGGCTCAGGACGCGGCGCCCACCGGGCCTCCGCAGCTTCCCACAAACCTGGAGCGGCTGGCTAGGCGCTAGGCGCGCAGTACCATGGACAGCGCTCCCCCCCCCCCCCCCCCTGTCCAGCACTAGCTCCTCCAGGCGGTGCAGGTCGCAGGCCAACTCCACCTGGTCAGTCGCAGCCCAGGTCACCTTCCCATCACCCCAGCAGTCAGATCTGGGCGGCCACTGGACCTTCTGTCAGTCAATCCCGGCA